AGAAACAGTGGTCGCTGCTCATAATGCGCGCGTGTAATATGAATGCGTCTCTATGCGCAGACGCATCTCATCTCCGAGCGCAGCCCGTCTTTGAACGTGCACACGCGTATGTGTGCATACACGTTAAAGGAAGGCACGCGCGCGTTTGTGCGAGTGTGTGAAGACGCGGCCGAGCAACCCACCCGAAGACACGGTCTTCTCCAGGATGGATATGAGCTCCATGCTGCAGCAGCGAGAAGGGGGGTCGGGGTGGGGGGACAGACGCAGGCGCGACCGGCGACGGGACGGGGGGGGGGGGTGTGTGGGCGAGCTCAGCCTCGGCTCAAGCGAGAGAGGAAGCCGAGAGGAGCAGCAGCAGCAGCACGAGCCGCTCGTTAAACTACGGAAGACGACGAGTGGAGATTGGAGGTCGTCACTTCTGCAGCGAAAAGGAGGAGGGGTGGTGAGCGGCAGCGGCGGCGGCGGCGGCAACGAAGAGGAGGACGAGGCCGAGCCGCTGCACCGCTTGGCAAGCCGCCGGAAGCGCGCAGGGATACAGAGCGGAAGTGCGCACGCCCCACCCGGCGCGTGTAGGATGGGGAGAGGGGGGGCGGAGTCAAAGGTTACAACTGATGCTTCTCGTTTAATTCGAATAACTTCATTTGCGAAAGTGTTAAATGAATAGTCTTGAGGGGTTTTTTTTTTAATCCGCGCAAGGTGTGTTGGATTTAATACCGAGAAAAAAATCGCGGTGGCTGTGAAGTGCGCGACTGAAATATTGTAACTTTATACGCGCACTATTTTTTCAGAACGCGTTTTTTTTCTCTCATGCAGTTTGATCCAACTCACTCGCCATCGACTGCAATTTAAATAAATTTTACTTCATTCACGTCTTAATTTTATAATCCTATTAAAAACATAAATGCATTTTGCCTAATTATATTATTAGCGTTTTCGATGCAAATTTTCTTTTTACGGCGGGGGGTGGTGTAAATCTTTTAATGTGTCAAGCGACAGTGCCGGCGTCGCCGAAGCACGCGTGTTCCGTGGCCACCATGTTGTGCGCCTCGCTTTTGGCGGGAAAGTCGAGCGGGCGCCGCGCGAGCGACCCCACCCCCCCGCCACCCCCTCCCCTCGCACCACCCCCCCGCCCCCCCCACCACCCCCGCACCCTCCCCTCGCACCCCCCCACCACCCTCCCCTCGCACCCACCCCCCCCACCACCCTCCCCTCGCACCCACCCCCGCCCCCCCCACCACCCCCGCACCCTCCCCTCGCACCCCCCCACCCCCCACCAGGCGCCGAGTTCCCGGATGTGTTCCCTGGTGAGGCGGGCAAGGTGTTAAATGAGGTTTGTTTATTGCGGAGGAATCCGATGAGCTATAAAGCTCTTTCCTTCACAGATGTCCAGCAGGGGCAGGTCAGACCGTCACAACAAACGATACAAAAAAACACGATAGGAGTGCAAAGTATAGGAAAATGTAAACAAATCACTTACATCCATAATATAGGTTTTTGGGTTCGATCGCGTAAATAAATAAATGTGTCGTTAAAACCCGCCACCACCCGACACAGCCAACTAGTAAGGGTTGTCACGTAAACAGAACGTGGCCAATTCGTCACTAGTAGAGCACTAACGGGTGTGTTGGAGAGCCAAGCCACAACATTTACAATCCGAGTACGACGTTTCGCCAGTAATTACAACTAGCTTCATCAGGCGACAGCCAGATTTGTGTAGAAGTCTTACTGTTTCGTTCCTTATGTAGATGTGGTGACCACGCAGCTGCGCTCTTGCACAATGATGGGAGGGGATTACTGAGGCAAAGTACATGATGCATGTGCATTATGCGAGCCCTTTGAACTTGTCCTTCCTGTGTATTGTGTTTATTAAAATAGCTCTACCAACGGTAATCCCTATTGAAGTACGCTGCCCTTTGTAGGCATGCATTTAAACAATGTATTATTTGATGATTCGCTTCCACGCAGCACTAAGGCGGTAGCTATCCGAACGGTTAAAGTTATTTTGATTGCTTTCAATTTCGATAGATTCTCTAATTAGTCTTGGCCAGTAGTAGCTAGTTTTTCACAGAACTTCAACATTATCAAAATAAATTGAGTGTCCTTGTTGGCACGCGTGTTCTGCTACTGCTGACAGTTGTATTTGGGATAATTTTATATTTCTCCGATGTTCTTTTAGTCTCGTGCTGATCATTCGTCTTGTTTGCCCAACATAACATTTACCACACGTGCAGTTAATCCTGTACACACCTTCTGTTGATAGCTTCCGTAATATATATTTTGTAGTTTAACACGTAGGCTTTCGCGACCAATATTATTCATAATAAAGGTTTTTGGGTTAGATCGCGTTTATTTATAAATGTGTCGTAACCCTCCACCACCCGACACGGCCAATCAGCAAAGAAAAGTGTCACGTTGACAAAAGACAAATAATTCACTACTTCAGCCCACCGGTGTGTTGAAGAGTTAATCCACATTTACAGTTTGAGTACGACGTTTCGCTGGTAAATACTTCCAGCATCATCGGGCAATTCGCCAGACACATTTATAAATAAACGCGATCTAACCCAAAAACCTTTATTATGAATATATTTTGTACCAGATATGAAATTCTGTATTTTATGTACCGTGCTGAATCCGACTCGGATGTTTTGTTTTTCCAAACATCTGGCTAGTTCATCAGTTACTCCCGCAATGTACGGTATTTTTTAAATCGTTTTAATTACTTGGGCAGTTTCAATCCTCTTGTTATTTGATTTTAACGACACATTTATATATTTACGCGATCTAACCCAAAAACCTCTATAATGGATGATATTGGTCGCGAAAGCCTACGTGTTAAACAAATCACTTACAGTATACATACAATTTTGATTTAAAGCTTTCGTGACTGCAGGGATTCATATTCTTGGTTCTTTCGGTAATGTCACGTAGAAGGGAAACAAGAAAATAATATAATATACATACAAGTTAAACTTTAGTTTTAATCTTACCAGGTAAATAAAGCCCACTGAGCTCTGAGCTTTTTCACAAGCGTCCTGGCCACAAATGATAGCTCAACGAAGTGGCTCATCACGTGGAAATGTATAGCAGCAAAATAATGTAAATAAAACAGACGCATGTTTCCAAAATGTGGAGGTGGGAAACCCGGAGGACAAAAGAATCCACGCGAGTCCGGTTCAGTGGATTCAGTCCCAACACCACTGACGAGGAGAAAACTTTACACAAAGACCAGCCCGACTACCCACAATCTGTCACTCACATTGATACCCGGGGCTGTGTTGCCCCCCTCACCCACCTCCTGATCATAGCTGTCAACCTATACGGTTTTACCCGCATTCTTGGACAGGGAAATTGAGTTTTCAGGTCCATACGGCGTACAGCCGTTCCAATACGGGCAAAATAAAATAAAAATGCCTATTTGTGTTTCTCCCATGTGATGGTACGTTGTAGGTAGGCACTAATGAGGGGTTGACAGTTACGTGATGTTATGGTCTTTCCTAGAATATTATTCTTGCAAATGGAAATGTGCAGCAGCTAAATGCCAATGTCGAGGCCCCTTTAGTCACGAGAGGGCTTCAGAATAAAGTTGTACTACGTGGTCCATACGTTGGGTTGCATGTCCACAGTCGCACTGTGTCTCGTATTTCATTTTCCATTCATGACGGAGATGTTGCGCATCGGGCTTGCTGATGCTCTGATGCGGTTGTTCCACCACCAGTGCCTTAAGGAGGAATGTCAAAGGCAAGGTGGTTGCGATGCTCGGGTCTCGAAAGGTGTTTATTATTCAGGAAGTCCACGTTGTTCCTCTGATCGCCAGCGTCCTTTCCGGATCTGGGTGAGATTCTAGGATGGTGACAACGCGATCCCAGCAGGGGGATCGATACTTGAGTCCGCGGTGAAGTACATTATTACGGTCTTGTTTGATGGGTATGTTGTCGTTGGCAAGACACGTGACCTCTTTTTGCAGCTTTGTATGTCTCTGCGGTTATATGGTGACAGAATGTTCACCAAAACAGGGAGTTAGGGGGGTTGGTGTCGGGTTTGGCATTCCGGTTACGATGCGAATTGGGGTAATTGTGCGTGAGCTCTGGAATCAGGCTGGAGCGCAGTACTCAAGACTGGACCTAGTCGAACAGCGAGTGTTGTTTTCGTGTTACCTTAAAACACAACTAATGTCATCTTGGCGAAATAAAGTTAATTCGAATCCAGATGTGATCAGTGCATTCTTCTTGATAGGATAGTATACGTAGTATGTTCTAAATTCTGCAGAAATGTGTACAACCAGCATGCTCGCGTCGCTGGTTAACGACCACGTTTTCTGTTAATTGGTTCATGATCTTCATGGACAATTCACGTGCAGTGGGTGATATTTGGTTGACAGACCTGTAATTCCTCATTTTTTTTCATTTTTAGAATACCGTATAGGCTTAATTCGACGATTTAATTTCAGTATTTGTGTAAGCAATTAGTAAATATGTTCGATAATTGTTTCAACAGCGGCTCTCCTTGACGATATCCAGTCATTCCATCTTATTCAGCTTTCCATTTTCATCCCAGTAATAAGCAGGCCAGTGGCAACTTCCAAGTGCGACACGTGGAACATCCCACTTTGAATAAAGCGTAAAACATTTTCTGGGGTACATGAACTTTTTTAGCTGAATACATCTGCAATTTAGCACAGTTGGTTGCGTACGGTGTGAAAGCATTTCAACATAATACAATGCCAGTGTTAAGATTTTTTAGAACAGCACTTCATCACATTAAACCCTGAAACCCTTACTAGTTATAATTGTAATCGGTACTGTAGCATGAATATCTATGTTTGAGTGAAAAGGTTAAATGTTGAGAATATTCAAATACAAATCATAGCTTAAACCCAGTTTTTTGAAATGTTAGAATTGTATATACACAGCATTCGTATCAAGACAAAATACATTCTTGATTATATGAACAAGACATTTACCATGAAAATAAAGGTTAATAAATAGGCCAGACAAGCATTACTCATCCCTTAGTTTTAATGTATATTTCAACTGAAAAAATCCATGTTAACATATCAGGCCGTCATCACTGCAGCAAAAATGTACCCTATGCTTTTACATGCACTTTAATACACTGAGCGTATTTCAATACATTATATTCAATATTTATAAAGTCACCTTTTCATCCCAAAAGCTTTTTATTGCAACATAAAACCACAGCTATATGGAACCACAGTGAAAGGCACCTTTCCTGCTCCGCAAAATGGCCTGACAATAAAAAAGGCATAATTACTAGATGAAAAACACTGCTTGACCCAAACATGTTATTAAATGTATTGTTATCATTCAATCATTTACTAAATATAAAAGCAAAACAAGATTCGGATCCCTCAAGTATGTCTTAATTGTATACCAATCTTGAACATACTATCATGTCTTCAGTGTTTTCACTGTCCCCCTGTGGGCCTACAATAATTTAAGAATTAATCGATGAGATCAAAGAGGTTACAGCATAGGGAAGTACTGAAATGCAGCTTTATTACATTCCCTGATCATTTGGAAATTTGAAACACAAGAGCAGCACATATGACAATGGAGAACACACATGGTGAACTGAACACAAAAACATTGGGTAATCATCTTGAGAAAGGAGGACCTGTGTCTTAATGGCAGTTCCCAACCTGTGTCTTGGGCACCAGGACGTCAAAGAACTGATGGTGATTGAAGGTGGAGGAAACCAAACGGTTCTGGATAGCGTCTCAGGTCAAGCAATGACCCTGCGGGCCTGCCCAATGGACACTTTGGGTAACCGCATTATGCACAGCCCCTGAAGTTACTGTTCACGCACTTCATAAGTATACAAAGCCGTTAGATTCCCTCTACTTGGGTTTTTAATAGAAAACCTGCATATTTGCAATTTATGAAAAGAAATCGGTTTCAGAGAACATGAATAATTTTTTATTTTTCTCAGATTATATATATGGTGTTGTGCATGCTCAAACTCGATTGCTATTAAACGATTGTAAATGTATGCAGTAATTGGTAATACTCTGGCTAACCGTTCTCACTGAATTGTTACCAAAGTGAAGGCGCTAGCATTGCTCTTGGTTTAAATCGCCAATTTAGTGTTACCTTTTACGACAAATATACGGTATAGTGGTATACTTGTTTGCTTGGTATGATGCAGAGACAGGGAAAGGAACATTGTCACTGCTCCACTGCAGTTTAATGCCACCTTCAAGACAATTTCTGATCGCTCATTTCATTTTAGTTCCCAAGACTTAATAAATGTTACACCTTGATTTTAACCCTAATCCTTACAATTTTAGAAACTACTCACCACAGCTTGCGATGGTGGAAGGAGCAGACAACCTTAAAGTCTTGCTGCTGAAGCAGAGGTACTTGTATCAGTTCCATTACTGTTTAGTTTACATGCCAGTGGCAATCATGTTCACAGCAAATGATGTTTACATATTTATGCCTAAATCTAGTTTCAATTTAATCTACATTTAAAAATTAACATGTATTTTTTTCAATAATTTGTTGATTGAATTGCTTGTGCATGTAAACATAGCAACAGTGTTATACATTCGCTATAGTAAAACAATATAATAATCCTGTAAGGTCTCCTTTTTCACAAATTACAAGACAATTCAATATCTGCACACATTAACGAGTTGCTGATACATTACAGTCATTTCATTGTAATTAGCAGGCTTTTTTGTTCAAGTATTGAAACTTTCTACATGCATTGTTGGAACACTAACCACGATGAGGAAAAAAAAACACATTTGCAAGTCACACAGCTAATTACAGCTAACAACAATCACAAAAACATGGTTTATATGTTATTGACATTAATACAGCAACTGCCAAAATGAGCAGCAATGCAAAATGAGCAACTATTTCCTATGACAGCACTGTTCTGGTATTCACACGATGCCACGCAGGCCTGCCATGGGGATTCTGCGGACGCACTGCTTCACGTGGCCTCACACTCGGATGGCGGGGCCTGGCCTGCGGTGCTGGAGGTAAAGGTGAACGGATTCGGCATCGCGTTTCAGCCACGCTCCGTTGAGCAGTATGTTCTCGCACGACTGCTGCACTGTGCGCTCTGCCGCTGGTGCAGGGTGAGCCGTGAAGAATGCCTGTCGTGTTGGGTAGCGGGGAAGGGGGGAGAAAAGCATGGGGGACGGGAAGGCAACAGCAACGTAAGATAGAGGGACAAATGGAAAAAAAAGCTCCCAATTCACATGCCATAACTAAAACTACCACGGTAGCACATTACAAACAAAATCAACATAGCAACATGCCCAGGGCTCACAGCCTGCAACATGTGGATGCTGACAATTGATCTGTGTTGCGCGCCACGGGTTTCGCCGTGTACCTTAATTTCTTGTGCTTTCTTCTCGCTCGCGAACCCTTCGGTGGTCAGCTGCAAAGAAAACCGAGTTTTAGTACTCTGTAAACGTTGAACGTACGAAATGCTATTCATCATACTCCGTTATCTGTTATAATCTGTGAATGTCGAGACTTCCCTCGACAATTACATTCTAAGCACTCTTTGGATCGCAACCGGATCATCAGCAGCTCCCGCAGGGCTTGCGTGCGTGCAGACACGTACCTTGACTAGGCGGGCGAGTAAGAAGCCACCCTGGTAGCGATTGTGCAGCTCCGACCAGTTGTCTTGCACGAACTTCCAGGCCATGCTACGGCCCAGCTTGCTTCCGCCCGACACCCCCCCAAGTACAAACACCGTATCCTGCGAACGCACCTCGTCCTGGGGAGAGGCAGGTGGTGATTTGATTTTAAATCGGAGCATTATAGCCGGCACTCTAAATTATATTTACAGTTATAATGTCCCTTGTCTAGTCCATATAAAATATTTAAACAAAACTACAACTGAATTAGTAATTAGTACATTGCTGAAATTCTTTTTTGAAGAATTTGCAATAAATTACAAATCAACGAGGAGCCATTTATATGCCGAGGAGGGCGATTTCATTACGTAAGCAAAGTCTACAATTATCGGTTTTATTTCACAACTAATCAGATAACACAAAAATCAATCAAGTTTTGGCTTGCAAGGGGGTTTCCCATCTCTGCAATAGTGAATGTTGAGGAAGCAGCCAGTTTTAAGTGGCTCGAGTTATCGACCACAATAAAGTAGTCCACATTTCTTTTGGAATAAATTAACCGACACATCGTTCGAGCTCTACCTTGCAATTCCCTCCTTAGACGTGATACTCACCGACATGGCGAAGGCGAGCACCTTCTGCAGAAGCTCGGCAGTGGCGACGGCACCCAGTACGCGCTCGATGCGTACGCGCTCCTCCTGCATGTCCGTCTGCTTGTGCATCTGTGGCGCCACGTACAAAAGGGGTCAACCCTCCAATGTATAGTCAGGGAATTTTAACAAATGAGGCCACACACACACGCTGTGCATGTCGCAATATAACTGCTTTTTGTGTTGAATTTGTTGTCCTTCCTCCGCACCTCTGATTAGCACGTATAGCTACGTGCGGTGCGAAAGAAGTTCAACATACATACATAGAATGCTTAGAATCAATTAAAATGTATGCTTATGCTCACGATACATGCATCAAATCTCAGATTCAAGAATCAATTATTTTTTATTCATACATATTATGTTATGTTGTGAGAGCAGAGGGCATTTCAGAAAAATACACTGTACTATTCTCCTACGTCTTTGCTCCCCCACCTTCAACCTGCACTGACCAGCGTGGTGAAGTATGGTCAAATAACTCCTATGACCCACATGGGGAGGCTCTTATCCAGCAGTGGATCAACAAAAGGGCTGTACATGCACTGTGTATGAAAATACACATCTGGTATGTAACATGTACACATTACCCATGCACCGTAATGGGAAGTACCACATTCACAAATATGTTAAAACGTGAATGTTGACTATTCAAATATCTGGAGAGTTTTTGGGTGAATCGTTAGATGCCTTATACATATGTACATACATGTACTTTATAACTAGGTTAGAGTCCACTGAGATAAACGTCTTGTTTTCCAGGGATCATTCATTTATTAACCATCTGCAGCATTAATCTAATAGCTGGTCAAACTTAAGAAAACATTCCCAGATCAACACAGGTGTTTCTGATAACAGCAGATATATAGTTTGGTTTGTTACATGCATCAGTGATTCATCAGCACACGCACTTTATAAATGCGGATTTCACATTTCAGAAAATACCTTACCTTCAGCATGGTGTCCAACGTACTGGCATCGCCATGCTTCAGAACAGTCACGTACACCTGTTCACAACCACAAGCATCACCATCAGCCTCAGCACAGAGGCCTCTGCCATGGCATTTTTCATCACTTCTGTGATGCAATCTACTGACAATACTATCCCAGCAGCTAATGTAACATCACGCTGTGGTAACTAAAATGCAAAAAAGCAAATTAGGATTACACAGTACATGAATCATAAAACTACAACATGGTGTACCTTTGTGAAAGACACATTGAGCAGTGACAAACTATGGTGATGAAACAAACACTTGACAAGTGTGAAGTTAAAGTTGAAGATTCGGAATTCTAAAAAAAAGCAGTGCATCACCCATTGGGAGTATGATCCATGGAAGGAGATATCAAAGAAACCAATTCAAGTGACCTCTAATCAACACAAGCAGCACATTCCCAATTGCCCCTCTAATGTGAGCAATATTTTCTGCATGACGGTCTGCAGACCATAACATGTGTGCACAGAACCAACGCCAAAATATACATGCAGGGTTAAACTCATGAGCTCGAAGTATAACATATGCAAGCTGATCAAGCAGGTAATCAGCCTAACTTTTTTTTTATATAAGTAATCTTCTTTGAAAGTATTTAATTGATAATCTTGCCCCAAAACTACAGATATGGGCAGTGATTTTGTTAAGCTGTGTTCCAAAGTGAATGGTTTTGTAGTTTTTTTGTGTGAAAACATGTAAAGTGTCCTCAGATGGACGGGCACAATATTTCTCGGGTATCGCAAATAAGTGGCCTATTGATACCCTTTAAAATATGCGGTCGTTATAAAAAATATATAGACATTACGTTGAAGGCAATGGTACCTTTTGACATTTTTGGTATAGGCGGATGCTCGGGAGCAAACAAGTTGATTATTCATGCACATTTTAGCAGTGAAAGCTGACACCCATATTAGGCACACATTCTTGGATGTGCTGCAAAAGCAGGTTGAAAGCAATGGCAGTTATCAAGTTCTGCTGGACTTATGAATGTTGCGGTGTAAAATTTTGGCACAAGGCAGGTTACCGGGCCGCGAAGGTCAGCTGGCAAAAGGTGTTTGCCGTCCACGTGCTCGCGAAAGCGGCGGCGGGCCTCCTCCACGGTGGGGCCATGCCCTGCCTTGCCCAGCTTGCCGAGCACTAAGCTTCGCAGCAGTGTATCAAGGTGGCCTGCATCAGAGCACATGGGCAGATACAGAAATAAAGGGGCCACCCCATTTTCAGACTATTGAGTCACGTGACATATTCTATGCCCACTGAAATCAGTTGAACCAGGTCCGGCCACACGACCGTTCGTTAAGTGTTGCACTTGTCCTAACAATATACTCGTGTTTTTACTGTCAGTGCGAGGCAGGTGGTTTTGGTATAAAATAAAATGTTCAGTATAAATACAAACAAGTTAAATTTCGGAGCACCAGGCAAAGCATACATGCACACAACTACAGGTGCAGTCGAGGGTGTGGAACCGTTTGTGTGGTTCCTCATAAGCTTGTTTCAATTGTCCACTATTGTTTTTACTTTTTACATTTTTCAAGCCATTTTTATTTGGTGAACATTATACATTACAGGAGCACTCGTTTGCACAAATTTTATCTGGAGGTTTACTTTAAGATAAACTATATAGCTTTTCCATTGTTTAAAGACTTGACCAAAACATATCCATCTATAAGACACCACAAACCACCTACACAGCCCAACAACTTAATTTTGAAAACTTAAAGGTAAAAACCTCATCTTAACATTTTATCCGTGTAAAAATTACACTCCTCTCCCATACCAATATAAAAAAAACAACGGGAATGGAATTACAATATTTTTTATATCTTTTCATAGCCCACTCCAAATGCCCTTAATATATTTTTGGTAACATTAGAGTTTGAAGTGAACTGTATATACAAAAAAACATTACATTAAACATTCGATGGGCTGGAAGATGCAGCAACAGAAGAAATAAATATAGAGAGCACTGCAAGGAGATAGCAGTAATGACATAATTGGCCCAAAAGGACAGGAAATTAGAAAAATAAATAAGATATTGAGATAAGATGATAACATATTGAGACAAGCTACATGACAGAAGCAGATCTCACCTTCCCCTGGCTTTGGGTCCCATCCGATGCGCTGGCCCAATGGGGCAAAGATGTCGATGGTGAAGTCCTGGAAGACCTGGTAGAAATCGGTGTTGGACAGCAAGCTTGACAGGGCAGTCAGGCTGCAGGAGATGTCACTCCACACCGTGTAGTTGGGCTCGTTCACAAAAGCCTCCAGCACCTTGAGCACGTCCACTGTGCTCACCACTCCTGCACGGGCCTGCCGGTCATAGTTAAGTGGCTCTGTGATGGGAATGTATTATTAAACTTTGCAAGTTGGTTCTGTGTGTAATGCACAGTCCTGTTTGTCAATGCATTGGGTTGCAAGGGTTGGTGAAGGTGGGGAGCATAGATATGGAAGCATAGAAGTACAGAACAACAATGAATTTTGCTGCAACACTCTATGGCATAACGTGCAACCTCACAGCCCGATAATAACATGTTGATATAGTGGTCACCATTCCAAGAACTATCTTTTTGTTTGCACCACATCATTCGTAATTAATACAATCTAGCTGGGAAGTAACATTCTGTTACCCTTCGTTATTCAATTAATTGTCACAAGGGTAACAATGCTAGTCAAGAATACCTATTTTGCTACTGTGATTAATGTAGCAGTCGAAGTGGCAGCCAGGGTCCTTGTGCAACCATTCCACACAAGGTTTACAAATTTTAAAAAATCAGTTTCACATAAATGCTTCTAAGCATGTATCGTGATCGTAATAATTGATCTGATGAATCGATGCAACAATATTCCAACTTGCTAGGTCTTCCTTTTAAAAAAGTGAGTAATGGTCTCAGGGGGCTAAGTCATTGTTATGTATAAATAAGCAACGGTTTACTACATATTCATCTCATCAAAACATTAAAAAAATACATGTTGGTGCTGCGATCTACAAGCAGCGGCCCAACAGCAACACATTTAAAATGTGCCAGATAAAACGATCCACTAGAGGGAGTGCATGTACGATAAAATTACCCGAAGGAAATAAGGTACAGAATTAAAAAGAAAAAAACATTCATAACTGAAAGTATGCTCAGATTGCCGCCAAGGTATTTAAGGGCTGTATACAGTGGCATGGTTAGTAAACTGCACAATAATCTGCAATTCAAATTTTACTGAAAGTCACACACAACACTTGCAACTGGAATCTGAACCTTGCCCATACCCGAGGTCAAAGCAGCCTAAATAAGTACTTGTATAGCACGGACCTAACACCAATGTCAATGATTTACCCTCATAGGCATATTGAAATCCATACTCTTTGTTTTTTTCGGTAAAGTCACGTAGGTAAAATAAAAGAAAACAATTAAATCACGACGTTTCGGAGGTGACACAAGCTTCCGTCTTCAGGTGTTTCAATCACGGTGATCTTGCTGTGACTGTTCCACCTGAAGACGGAAGCTTGTGTTGCCTCCAAAACGTCGTGATTTAATTGTTTTCTTTTATTTTATTTTACCTACGTGACTTTACCGAAACAACCAAAGAGTATGAATCCTTGCAGTCACGAAAGCTTCAAATCTAGAATATTGAAATCCACCCACCTTTCACCACCATACTTAGTGCATTTAGGAAATGTTTCATATACCCATTGCTTGGTTACAGCTTAAACTAGTGCATACTGCTAATTAAAATCCGATCAATTGGAAAACACAATCTCAACACCCACCTTTCATTCCCTCCCTTTGTGTCCTACCACTCTCTCCTACTTACCAGAGCAAAGAGGTCATTCTGGATGCCAAGGCGATCGCGGGGCGGAAGGGACAGGTCACGGATAGCGGGGAGGAGCGCGTCCAGCATCTCGGAGCTGTAGTGTGTCCTGTAGAACCCCACGGTGCCCGGGTTCAGCTGCAGAACATCCACACAGACATGTAGGCCACCATCAAAATGCTCTTCTGTGTTGTGTATGGGTAAATGTCAAGTTGCGAGCTGCACACAGTGCCCATAACAATTTTGTTTGACACACACATAAGCCTACTCATCCACACTGGCCATTCATTATGGAGGAAATAGGGGCATTTTTTTTACCACTCTCTCAGAACATCGATTGGCAAATTACTTTCTGCAGGTGGGATGAAGTGCAAGGTAAAGTATAGAGGTTACCCCAAACTTTACACCATCTGCCGAAAGCGATTTGTCAATCAATGTACTGCTACGCTTTATGTGTTTCTGCACTGCATAGATGGAGGGTGCAAGGTTTTTAACTGCACTAATCAGGGATAAACCTAATATTGTATATTTAATTTAAAGTAAACTGTGCAACCTATCTATGCTCCCATGAAAACAAACAATACAAATATTCGTCTATGGACCAGCAGCACCGTATGCACAGACGTGCACACATACGTGCACTCATGCACACATGAGCATGCACTCGAACACACATGCGCACACACACAAACACACCAAAACACAAATGTGCGCGCACACACACACCTTTGGAGGGACATTACAGCCTACCTTCCCCTATCCAGATTGAAACTTATGGTCAAAACAGGCAGAAAGAGAAATGTAAGCTTTACTTTTCATTTTTTAAGTGCACATCAGTCATGCATATGTCAAATGCAAAAGACACACCTATGCTATGCTCTAAAATAAATCCCCATTTAAGAGCTAGGGATGTTAAAACTTCCGACCCCATGATGGATGGAATACGTTGCAAACCCACACGATATGCAACCTGCATTAAACTTCATTAGCAACCCAATAAATACAAGAAAAAGATGGCATGACAAGTAATCTGTAACAGTTATTGATTTAAACCTTGACTTAAAGCTTTCGTGACTGCAGGAATTCATATCGCAACACAAGCGGTCGTCATCAGGAAAAAGTTTTTTTTCCTTTTTCCTGATGACGACCGCTTGTGTTGCGATCGAAACGTCGTAGTTTTTTGTTATTTTCTTTGAACCTATCTACGTGACTTTACCGAAAGACCCAAAGAATATGAAATAGTTATTGATTTGATTCATCCAATTAAGTTAAGTGTTTGCATTAAAAACGATGTTTGGTTGATGATGCGGTGCTGTCACCTTGAGCCACTGGCCCTGCTGCACGTCAGCCACGGTGATGCTCATCTCGGGCTGGTCGAGGAGGAACTTCACTTTGGCATGCTCCGGGTCCTCGCTCAGGCACACGCTCACAGGCACCATCCACTCGGGAGTCTGCTCACCTGGGGTCCGGTGAAGAGAAATGAATTCGGGGGCGATGGACAAATTATTAAAATACCTAACTCCATGCATCAACATTGCCTTATAACAGAAAAGAACACGTGTAATGGTCAACGGGCGACAGTTCCCCCACTAGAAGGCCTGGGTCTCATTGGTGATACCCTGGTTGTTCCTTGGGTTCAATGGTAGAGCTGGACTCAGCGTTTGCTTCTCCGCAGGCTGTCACAGAGTTGTACTCTTCTGTCCCGTGTTTCCCTGCCCTAACCGGTCCCCCTCTTCTACCAGAATTACGGATTTTTATTCATTTTTTTTTTTTTAGATGCGATTGCATTCAGAAGATAATCAATATGAAAATTGTTGTTATATTCGAAGATTTTGATTTAAAGCTTTCGTGACTGCAGTAATTCATACTTAGTTTTTTCGGTAAAGTCACGTTGAAGAGAAACAACAAAATAACAAAATATATATAAAACAATTAAAAATTCTCACGACGTTTCGACCATAACTCAAACGGTCATCATCAGGTGCAAACCGACACACCTGATGATGACCGTTTGAGTTATGGTCGAAACATCGTGAGAATTTTTTATTGTTTTATATATATTTTGTTATTTTGTTGTTTCTCTTCAACGTGACTTTACCGAAAAAACTAAGAATATATATTCGAAGATGTTAGGTAATGACCCTACAGAGCAGAAAGAGGCCAGCAGAATCAGCAATTTTAGTGTTGTAGTGTGAAATTTACCACAAGGTAATGGTCACTGGATAGGGTGGAGGTCAGTGATGAGGGTGTAAGAGCAGAAGTCATTGAGTAAAGTATAAAGGTCAAGAATTCAGGCTGAAAATCAGCACGACAATGATTAAGGGGTCAGTAGAAAATCAAGAGGTAATTAAATGCAAAATAAAAATTCAACTTAGTTTCATTATTCCTAAAAAAAGGTTTTTGGGTGAGATCGCGTAAGTACAAATCTGTCGTAACCCTCCACCACCCAGCAGCCAGTAAGGTTTGTGATGTAAACAACATGCCAGTTAGTTACTACTTCAGTCCACCGGTGTGTGTTGGAGAGTACACCGTTTCGCTGGTAATTACATCCAGCATCAATGGGCGATTTGCCAGAATAGTGACGCAATCCACCTGCTTCCGGTCTTAAATAGTGCAAGGTGACTCATCACTGAACCCATCAGGTGCAGAGATCAGAGGCTAAAGCCTACATGTTAAACTGAAGTTTGATTATATTTTATTTCTCTCCAGCACTGATAATAATAGTTTCCTCGCTCCTTCTGGGAAGTGAGCTGTGCTTAACTGAGTTGAGTTCTCAAGTATACCGAGTTGATGGTCTCAGCCTGCTTACTATTGGATATACAAAACATGTTAAATTAGGTTTTCACTCAATTTTGCAAATTCCAGCTGTGAGAATTTAAAATGTCTTAATATATGACACACTTTGCACGGCATATACGTGTGTTCCTGTTTTGGATAACAGGGCCTGTTAAAGTAACTTGAGCAGTCATTTTCTGGCATAATTTTCTCAGGCCATTCTCTTACGATGATGCACTGCTAGCTGTGAGAGTTCCAAGTGGACGTTTTTTCATGTCATCACAAGATGCTAATAGTACAATTGGAAAATAAATGTAACAAAAATGCAGCAAAATATATTGTTCGATTACCTTTAAAGCAGCCACCTGCACAGAACTTCTTTTGGGAAATATGCAATGTGCAGCTTTCACCTTGCTGGAAAAAAAAACCGCATCAAACCAACAATTATTCTCACTATAAGGGTTTGTATCCACCATAGTATAGAGCATAGGCATTATTTATTTTCATCAGCCTATTATCTAAACATCAAAAAAGAAAGTGCTGATTTAGATTGTCACTTGTAAATTAAAATATTCGATGGCGCCACACTTCACAACAGAACCAATAACCGTGCGGCCACATGGGTGCACTGGAGCGTGAGATAGACATGGGTAACGGTGACAAAATCATCCGGAAAACGAGTCCACACATGCCAGAAACAACACAGGAGGGCAGATGACTTGTCACGGTCACAAGATGTGACATGGCAGGTCTGGATTGCAAAAAAAATACAGCCAAATGGCAATAATAAGTCATACGTAACCTAACAACCAACCAAAAAAAAAATTTTTTATAACTACCCCCACAATGTATTTTTGTTGTTGTCAATATATCACTTGTAAAAACGTAACAATGTATGTAGAGACCACAGGTCACTCACTGAAGCAAACGTCTGTGGGTATTCACTGAAGCAATGGCAGAATGGCAGATCACAGAGGGCAGGTGGTTACTTAAAATAATGCATATGAAACAAAATAATATTTCACAAAATAAATAAGCAGACAATATGGCTCCCTAAAAATGTTTCCTTAACATTGTCTGCTTTTATATTTTGTTATATTCTCGACAACGACGCTCATGATTAATGAGTAATAAATTATATTTAGGCCGCTTAGAATGAAAAACACCCACAATCCCTGCAAGCCCAGCTAGGCATGTATGTGCATATCAGCCTATTATAGCTACAAGCTACAAAATATTAAAAGTGTATCCTCTTCAATGTTGTATCACTAAATGTACAAAGCAGCTGTGTAACCGATTTTCCCAATATTACAGAGCATTAGTAGAGTACAGCTCCACAACTGTACTGCAATCAGTGTAACGATGATCTATTAAAAAAAATCTCCATCTTGATCAAATAAACTGTCATAATAAATCAGAGCCATATATTTTTAGGAATGTGGTGAATGTAGCTCCTCCAGTGGCTGTAGACATCACGTGAATCGATTCAATAAGACATACAAATAGATTATTTCACGCACGCATAATCTAAGGCATGCATCACGAGCGTTATGGACAGTGGTGGCTAAAAGCAAGAATATTCCCAAAATTCCGTCCACCGTGGAGATGGAGGATTGAAATCAGCTCATATGCACGTGCTAGATAAACTGTAGATTGCAGGACTGTCAGAGATGGGGCAACGACTTCTGGAGGCCTTCAACCAGCATTGGATTAATCATGACTGATGATGATGATCAAAAGTGTAAATATCTAACTGACAAACTGATGCATTGTTAGATATCCACTGTTATCATCATCATCCACGAGCAGCGCTCCCTACAAACGGAAAGGCCGTCAATAAAATGATGTGACAAGGAGGTGCTGGCAACAAGTGAGAGGCGGTTACGTGTTCGGAGTAGACGTGCAGCACGGGGAAACCCATCTGCTTGGTCCAAGAGCTCATGACGGCCGCCACCGGCTTCCCGCTCGCCTGCTCCAGGCTCTCCCACAGATCCTCTGCACGTCGAAGGTGTGCATGTTGTGGAGATGTATACATTTAAATGATTTTTACCGAGCCATCAGGTGGTGGTTCCCTGTGGCTATGCCACTCTTAGTCGGATATATGGGCCTCGCGAATTAATGCTGAACCATTAAATTCCAGACAATGCCTAAAATCTTGCTCTCTAAGTGTCTAGAATTAAAATCAATCCCTGTAACTCAAGGCACATTATCATCATGTGGTGTGCATATTTGGTTTACATACATGTGCTTACTCATATGCATATAGAATCTAAATATGAAACAATAGTTTAAATGATACCTTGATAATAATTTCTGTTTTGCCTTTGAAAATGTGGTGACATCGACACATACTAATACAGATTTGTGACAATCATTATAGCTCAGCTGTCCAATGCTTGGCACAATTTTATATAAGCCAGTTTGCATGGGGATAAAGTTGTAATTCCTGCAGTGGGAAGTGCACATTAAATTATTTGCATGAGCAGGTCATTGTGGGCCAATGAGAGGCCAAATCCCAAATTCGAAAATTACATACATTCCATTTTAAACAACAATCTCTGTCCTTTGAATTGGTGTTAATTTAAATAGAAGCATTGTTTATCAACATTCATCTATTTTCAAATTAAGGAAATTGGATAAAACAAAGCCAACTGAACATCTACGCCTGCAAATGCCAAAAGGTATCAACTGATTCAGTGACCTCTTGTTTGGCTTCATTACTGTGGAAAATAACAATGGATTAAAACCTCCTGCGATTAGCACTCAAACATTAATAAATGGGCATGCTAAACTAATAAATATCACCATGACCAAGATAGAATCAGTAACAGCTTTTTTTTCCAAGTTACCTAACCAGGCTAGCAAGTTGTGACATAACTCATTAACTCCCTTGGGAAACCATGCTAACGGAATTCATTACAAGCATTGTATTACGAGTAAAATACCCACTTTAAAAATGCATTACAGGGTATACCACAACCGATACAATGATAAATTATATGCAATAATACATACTATATTAAGACTGCCCATGGAATCTTCAGGTATGTAAATTCCACTGCCTTCGTTGACTTGAAATCACAGGGGTGCAAATGGAGGTACCTGTGGCTGCGTTCTTGTGCTGAAACTTGGTCAGGTACATGTTCATCCCCTTCTTGAAATCCTGCCAAGGCAAGCCACGTACTAATATTACAACACTCAAGCATTTAATTTAAATTAACATCAGGCCACATCTACTGTGCACTTTTATAGTTTTGTATCTCATGATAAAAGCATATACCTACACACATAAATAAAAATATGACAAGCAAAAATGTTTTTAAAATCACAGATTCAGAGGAAAGGCCCAATGGTGTATAATACAAAGTAGTCAAGAAAGTAACAAATAACACTTATGACGGTTAAGCAGATAAGAAATAGAACATTTATTGAATTCAGCAAGATTATAGAAACCTAGAAAAAGAGGCAATGAGGGAGCAATTCTGGTAGAACTCCCTGACATGAGAAAAAGGTATCGAAAGGTTTCAAGTCCACCAGAGCTATTACCATGGCAGAAGTGACGCAACTGTAACAAGGAGTGACTTAACAACTGTGAGAGTGATTGGAGTGAATCAGTGAAGCACTGGTGCATCGATCAACCGAGCTGTTTTACGCTGTACGTGCAAGCGGTGGCTACGTGGCAGGTCCGCTAGTGTCTCAGCGTGCACATTCTATGCTAATTCCAAGCTGGCTGTGCCACGCGTTGACCTGGGGAGTTCTACATTGTGCCGTGACGTAGCTGGTCGGGCCAGGATAAGCCTCACCTCATCGCCGATGTAGTCGTGCAGCATGCGGATCACCGAGGCACCCTTGCTGTACGAGATGGCATCAAAAATTTCATCCACCTCCGAAGGGTGGCCAACTGGTACCTTCGTTTAAAAAATTAAATGCAAAATATTCAAATAAGATAACACAGCCCATTGATCAGTATGTTAAATACTGATGTATAATTAATTGAAAAAGAGAGCAAATGTTTTTCATTTACACTACCATACAATTGAGTAGCAAAGGCTTATTTTTGGAAAGGCACATCTTCAGAGCAGCTGGTGAGGGCTTTTCAACTGTTTTTACATCACTGTCAATGCATTATTTTATTTTTATATATGACAAAGACAATTTCATTTGCAACAATTCACAGTAAAATCTAATGAAGTTGCACGTACGTTTTTTTTTACTGAAAATAATGTAAAAAAAATACAAAAATCTGGCCAACCGAAGGCTTTTCATCAATCCAGGAGAAACTAAAAAAAGGAGATGGGGAGAAAATACAAGTTGGCATTCCAGTCTATTCAGAGAGCCTCCATTTTGTTCGGGCACATGACTGTGCAAAGAAGAGTGTGCAGTTATTAAATGTATAAACGTGGACTCATTTAAACATACTGCAATGTCACATGTGAAACATTTTATATACATAAAAGCTTCTGTGCAACTACTGTGTTGGCAATCTTTTCCAAAAACAATGCAGATATGGGCACTGGCAAGTTGTCTGATAATAGTTACAGCAAATGGTATGGGGGTTTTTAATATTCATGAAAACACACAAATCTTCCCTCAGATGGATGGTTCGGATGGACAAATGGACCAACATTTCATGGGCATATCGACATTTAGCCGATTGGTTACTTTAAAAGAAAGTTTCAGCTGTGTATAGATGTTTTTGTTTTCAAGTTGAGCAGGGCCAGATGGGGCACGCACCTCGATGGGATGACTGTTGTCCAGGGCGTCCAGCTCCAGGGCAGGGGCGTAGTCCGTGGAGACAAACTGGGTCCAGATGTCGAACTCTGGGAAGCAGTGATCCACGCAGAGGTACTCGATCCACGAGGCAAAGCCCTCATTCAGCCACAGGTGAGTCCACCACTCCTGCAGTCACGATGGGGCAAACCCCCCCTTTAGATTAGCAACGTACGGTGCGAAAGAAGTTGAACATTCATACATGCAAACCCGCGTTCCCAAATCCAGTCCAAGTTCAAAATACAATCCACGTTCAAAACACCTTCTACATTCGATGTTCCAAATCCTTCCACATTCAACATCCATTCCAAGCAAATAAGGAGACCGCAAGTGTGCATCAATTGAAATTTTGAATTTTGTGCTGTCTTGACAGCTCTTGTATGGATAACCACAGAACAGATGGAACAACACAGGATACAGTCTAACGGATTTCAGCCACACAAGGATTTCTTTTAAATGTGATTGGAAGTGATGGCACTTGCACAGAAAGGTCTGCATTATCAAGCAATCGAGAATGGATAATAATAAAAATGAGAACTGGCTGTTTGAACACATTATTGCATGTAAATTACATATTTAGTGAGGCAGTACAAGCTTAACTTATGAGTAATAAAACCACGTCCATAAATTCTAACACCACAGAAATATTTTAAACTATCACATTCATCTTCTTCCCAACTGCACTCAATAATACATAAAAATGCACACATTATACTGCGACACTGGAAAACTGTGTTTTAATTACATTTAAACGAGGGGCATCCATTAGCACAGCTTGCCTTGACTGCATAAATGCTATTTGATCCAATGATATCGGTATATGTAGCACTTTTGAGGCAAAGGCTGATGGCTTACTTAAACTCACAAATCCATTTGGCTGCAAAATTGGCCAGGAGACAGCAGTAGAGAAAAGAATATTTGTTTTAAATCCATCTGTGTGTGGTGCCGAGTACTATCTCTTCATCGCCATGATAGTTATTTGGGTTCCCCCATTCCTCTTGCATTCAATTGGCCAAACATGCCAATACTGGGCCCTCCTGATGAAGAGTTCTGAGAGTGAAATTTTCGTGGATAGAGGGCATTGTTATTATCACTATACATTTTATATTATCAATTTAAATGTATTATTGGATGTTCATTAAGGTGCAAAGAATAATTTCCAGATTTGATCGAATGTTTCCATGGCAATGCATAACAGTGCTTTACAATGTAAAATGATGCAGTTAAGTATTATGCAAACCTCTTTCATAGTATGAAAAAATATTAGCATAGGTTTTACCCTTTCTGACAATAAAAACAGGTGTTAAGATATTCAAACATAAAATATAAACCTTTTGCAAGAAATCATGTCTGCATTAACCACACATACTTGTGGTGAACATGCAAACCAAACATGCTCTGATAATATAATATATGCATTGTCTTTGAAACAGATTGGTCTACACCAGGGCCTAGTCTCACCACTGTAAACCAGAGAACGGCAAAAGGCGAACAGTGAACATACTTTTTCATAGTAATTTTACTCTTTCAAAGTAACATTTTACTCTTTCATAGTAAAATTATCACCACAAAAGGAGAAAAAAATATGCAAGGCAAAAAATAGGGCAATATTGAACAATAACATTCAGAATGTCCCCAATATTACATTATTTAGAAATCGGATAATTTACAAACAAAATTGAGATGTACAATATTTAGGATTAATGATGCATACATAATTATAAGCATGCAGTATATATATGGAAAATACAAAATTGCCATACACATATATTATCATTTTCATATTACTGACATATAAGTAGTAACATAAAATCAGCAACAGCAACTGAAGCGAGGCCTGAAACAATAAAAACGATTTCATTTAGCCAGGAAAGCCATACTCTGAGTCTTTTGACTCAAGTTTAGGAGGGTGCCGTATGGGATGTTTGGTCAATTTAACGAGTGTTTGGCTTCATGTGGGATAAACCACAGAACCTGGTAAAAAAATAACTAATTTAATAAAAGAGCATTAAAAGCTTCATAAAGATGAATTTCAGAAATCATTGGTAATGGCATCTCTTGATCACTTACAAGCATAACAAAAGCCTTTCAAAAAGAGATAGTGTAATGGATACACAAGCCTTTAAAAAAAGGATAGTGGAATTGATGCAAAAACCTGAGAAATAAGTGAAATATACTGAAAATGAATACCAACAATTTTCAAATATATTTTGTCAAAGATAATAGCTGCTTTAAAACCAATGGTGAGGTGAACAACACTGCTGTGGGTTCACGTCAAGGCATCAGTCACCATGGTGACGAGGTTGCCAAACCACTGGTGAGCGAGCTCGTGACCCACGACAAGGGCCACCCACTGTTTGGAAGCCGAGGACGAGTTTTTGGGGTCCACCAACAGGGCCGTTTCCCTGCACACACACGCGCACACACGCACACAAAATATCCCCCCAATAGCCTTCAGACTTTAGGAGCAAGTGCTGTTAGCGAGCACCTATGAAGTCCGGCACGACACACGAGGGGGTGGGTGGCCAGCACCACGCCCAGCTGCCTTTGTCTCCCCAGTGGCGATGCTTATATACCGCACCAGGTACTCGTTTGAGGCTGAGTCGACATGCGCCCCCCCAATGATCCGATCGAAATCCCTAATTTCGATCGGATCATTGGGGTTTATTAGTAACAAATCGGCATTTTGCGACCCCCACTGCCACTGTGCAACATATTATTACGTGCCAGGGACTCTATGAGATGACTGGACAATAGTCTGAGTCCATAATTGACAATAAGTAACGGCAAAGCAGTTTTAAGTGACTCAGAATTGTGCGCAGTTGCGTATACAGTACACGACTTCCCTGAAGGCATACCTTCAGCGAGCGCGATGCCGATCACACGAGGTTCGAAATCGACCCTCGATCGATGGCTGCGCCATCACCGCACACGCGTCGAATAAAAAGCAAGGGACAAGTCGTTACTTACTAACAACTCCTTACTTACTAACAACTCCTATCATTTTTCATTGCTGGAGGGGTTGCCCTCCCTACCTGAAAATCCTGGCTCCGCCATTGATAAGGACCATTTCCTGAAACATCAGCTGACTAGATGTTATGTTATAAGGCAGTATTCATGAGGTTATTTTATATTTTTTTAAACATTGCGCTACCACCTTCAAGTCCTGGTTTTTAGAAATGTGAATCTTCATCGATTCCTCCCGATACACAATACATGCATCGAATCACACAAGAGATTTGATTATTTACAATTTATGCACACTATATGCGAAATGTGGTAATCCTTGTTTACGATAAAGTGGTGAAAAATTCATAATGAGATGGACAGTGCATGGATGTGAGATGTTACTGCCATTAAAGGTCGAGTACTGTAGTTTGCGTGAGCACTCATGTTTATTTCATGCTCTGATCACGTTTGCTGCTTCTCGTAACTCACGTTAAATCATAACATTGGTCTTCTTAACGCACATGCATTAATATTCTTTAAAACACTTTGCTTAACATTTTGACAAAATACAGGCTTTTCAATAACTGTGTGTTAAAATGGACAATCTATGATGGGCCATCTGGCTTTATCAATTGACACCCACCTACTGTGAATCACTGAATTTAGTGAAGCTTATGAGGTTGTTATTTATTTTCAGTGTAAAAGAGTTTTGTTTCTGCACCTCCGAGATTCATAAATACCAACTGTGTTTAAATGTTGACGTGAACAAACCTGTAAGTGACAAGACCCCAATTCTCCATGGCACCTAAAAAACACATCAATGACAGTAGCTTCATGAAACCTCTCACATCTTCAACGCACAAACACAACCACTCAGTACAGCACACACACACAGTCCTTACACCGTCACCGCACCACCCGCCATGCCCAAGAACTTGTCACAGCAATCGGAGATTCATAACACTTCACAATTAGCTCACTAACAAAGCCATCTCATTTAATTGTAGCGAAAGGAAAAACAAAACAGCTAGAGTGAAATTATGCAGAGGTAATCTCTAAAATCTACCTATACGTATAAAGCCACATGGCTCATGGTCCCTCATTATATTAACTGCAGAAGGGAACATAAGTAGAATATCTATCTTAAGCCAATGGATTTTTCTAAACATGCCAAGATCCATTGCCCAGACGTGCAGGGTCAGACTTGGGAGAGTTGTGTCCTGGAACATGCACTTGAACATTCCCATGTGCAGTGTTTGTCAAACAAGAAGACTCCTCAGACACCATTGACATTTTCACGCGAGCCGATAAGCTAATTATACCAGGAAATATCATGAATTACTGTCCATATGTCCAAGAACACGTATGCATGTATATATATCAAATACAAACTAGAAAACCCCTAGAGACTAATCACGACAAAACTTGACACTTTGTTTACCAATGCAATTACCAGATACCTATCGGTTTTATACATTGACAAAATACTTCTGAAAAAGCATTTTATTAGATATAAAATGACTTAATTATGCGTAATATTGCGGTTAGTATGCTTGTGCATCCGAAAGCACGTGCGTTTTCCCATTCCCATGCACGCATCTGGTTTAAAATCAAATTCTCTAGCAACACAGAGGCTCCCTTAATATGCTGGCTTGAAGACTGATAAATTAGTAAGCATTTTATCGGGTTGCCGATCCACAGTGGGCACAGGAAAACTGCATGCATTTATTTCCACGTGGATTAATCACAACGTAGAATCTCTCACTTTCTCTTCATAGGCAATGCAAAAGAACAGTGTGGAAAACTCACTGCCCGTTTTGGCAGTGTTGACAGTTGTAATTTGCACATTTTCACACACCTGCACAAAATTCTAACAGTGTACGCCACGTCGCTGGAACAAAACTTACCCGCGGCAAAGTCAGCGATGGCGATGAGATCGATTTTTGGCAGAGGATACGGAACATTGAAGTAATCCTTGTAAAAAGGCAACGTCTTTGTGGCAACCTACATTGGAAGGTAAAAATTTAAAGTCAAATATGCATACTTATTCGTTTTGTGAACTCTATGCCAAAAATGTACCCAGAAAAGCCTTCATGCATCTCAAGTACATTTTAGGAGGGTCTTCCATTGGGCTCTTTGGCTAATCCCATGAAAGAGTAATGATTATTACACGAATATAGAACTGCTTTTAATGTTTAGTTCGTTATCCTTCCGCTGCACCTTCGATTAGCACGGTTGGCTACGGACAGTGCGAAAGAAGTTCAATATACATACATAAAAAAACAGGAGTGAATGTGCGTGGGGGGTGGGGGGGGATTGGGTTACCTCGAGAGCAAACTTGCCCTGCTCCGACTTTCCCAGGGGCGTGTAGACGCGGACAAGCACTCCATCGGACGAGCGTGCCTCCACAAAGTCGAACTCTCCCACCACGAAGGCCAGCAGGTAGGTGGACATGATGGGCGTGCGCGCATACCGCACCTCCACCAGCTCCGGGTCAGCCTCGTGAGGCTTGCGCTCCAACACGTTCTGTGTATGCAGGCGTGCATGTGTGATTGCACGTGTGCAGAGCGGTTCAATTTTACGCCATCAATAAGCCGGTAGTAAGATTGGGAAGAATATTTTTGCGATGGCAAAAACGCAGTTTGAATAATGTTTTGCCTGCATCCTCATTAATGCAGACGTGCATCAGAAAAAAAAGTTGGCTGGTGTTTTGGCAAAGACCCTTCTAAGTGATGTCAATCCAATCTGTCTGGGTCTCCAAGAGAATACTTGTCCTTTTAAAAATAACATCCTTTATTTATCCAGGAAAGCCTTGGTTAATCTCATTATATTTTCAGTTGGGTCCTGCATGATACTATTTTGGAGGGAAGCAGAGATAATAGATATAATATATATTCAATAATCCATTCTCATCCGACCACTTAGCAGCCCAATCCTACAACACCTGGTATTCTGAGGCTCAACTCTGTTTAAATTCTGAAATCTGAAAAATATGTGTACATTTACATTTGGTCATCAGCTATATGATTTTGTGAAATGAACCCTTAATAAATCAATTGTGACGATGAAGTAGTATTAACGCAAAAGCAAAGCTTAGGATAATACAGTAGCACAATGAACCCAAGGTTTGCATAAACAACAGGACTTACCATGTTGGAGAGTGCCACGCGATCCTGTGGCACGATGAGCGTCACATCAAATGTGGCCTTGATGCCTGGCTCGTCCCAACAGGGGAAGGCCCTCCGCGCGTCAGTAGCCTAGACGACACGCACACCACCGATCACCGTCAGCACCATCACCACTACCATCATCATCAACACTACTACCAACACCACAGCCACCAACACCATCACCCACGCCACCACCAGCATCATCACTACTAGCCATCATCAAAGACAAAGACCCCCCCCCCCCATATAGCCTTTAAATACTTTGGGGAAAGTGCTCTTAGTGAGCACCTTTGAAGGCCGGCACAGCACACGAGGGGGTGGGTTCCCAGAACCATGCTCTGCCGCCTTTGTCCCCCTAGTGGTGGTGTTTACACACTGCACCAGGTACTCATTTTAGGCTGATTCGACCTGGGGAAGGACCATGACTGGTTCAGATAATCGTCACGAGTGTTGGCCATGAGCGGGAATCGAACTCGGGACGTCGGGTTCGTAGCGCAGCATGACAACCACTGTGCCCTCACTCCTAGCTGCCACTGCCATTCACTGGCGTAAATAAAATAAAATGTTTCGCTCGGGATGACGCTGCAAAGTATTATCTGTATTTTTATTTAGCATGCTGATCTTAAAGGTGCATTGAAAAACGTGATACTCCGACTGATGCTTCTGTTGTTGTAGAGTAACTCAAGCATCCAGCTATGACTCTAGAATTTGGTGTTGCATGTTATTTATGTAGTTTATTGTAAAAATTCGGTCCCAGTCCCTGTGATCACTGTTACGTTGCAATTATGGCTTTATTTTTTGGTGATTTCGAAAACGTTTTTTGGTTTGGACATGTTTGTTTTGTTGTAGTACGGAGTTAGACTGATGGCCTTAATATAAGTTTTCTTGTTGTTGTTGTTTGACTTGCATCCCACTGGGATTTTTTGCACACAGCATTGGTGTATGGTGCTTTTTTCAGGAATATTTTGCTGTTTTTTTTTCATGGATTTTTTGTTTGCACAGTCACATAATCACTTTAAGATGTTTTTCTTGTTCGTATTTTTGTTTTTTTGTTTGTTGTGGTTGCACCCGATTCAAGAGCCGAATGGCTCACAGGGCTAAAATTTTTTTAATAAACTGAAAACTGAAACACTCCCCGCACCACCATAATCACTACACCTATCAACACCACCGAACCACCTACCACACCACCACTGGGTTCCAAAACGGTGACTGTGCACACTCTCGGTAAACATGCCAACTTTGGGCTAACGTTGGCATGTGATTGGAACCGTTGGACCAATGTTGGTCCCACGTTCCATGTTTAACGGGCCAATGCAGTGCAGACTGAAGGCAGGAACCACCTCGAACTGGGTGACGGCAGCGTAGCGCGCCTCTCCGCACGCCGCCGTGTACTTGCTGCGGTAAAACCCCTTCATCTTATCGTTGAGCTCTCCGACAAACTCAATTTTCAGCATTCCGCTGCCTGCAAGGATGAAACAACAAGGGCTCAACAAACATTTTTTTTTACAGATATGCACATGCGAAATAAACTTTCGTATTCAAATTTGAGAACCTATATAGCAATTTGACATATTTACTCATACATATATTATATTCTTCGAAAACTCATTAGTCAAGGCAATTATTTACCGACTTCAAGTCTTCCTGACGAACATTAACTAAGACTGGGTAAAGGCACAGCTCTGCAATTTATTTTCTCGCACCACTGCTGGCAGAAAAGCGAGCGCAAGAGAGGCCCTCGAGGTAAGCGCTTCACAACCGGTGCTCCGCACCAAAGTCCCAGGGGTGTCGTGGTGGTTTTTTGATCGCCGTCCGGAAGCTAGAACAGACGAACACTCCGTGCCATTGAGTGGCCAATCCAGCCCGCTCATTGTCCTCCCCTATCCATTGATGATGGCGCAGTACAGCAAAGAAAGCCGTCAGCCCCCACCTCCCTCTCCTCTCAATTCCCTCAGTCGCGCATGCCCAGTTTGCCAAACAGACACGGAGACACACAAAGAGACATGGAGACACATAGAAACACACAGAGGCGGAGACACACAGACACGGAGACATACACAGATGCAGACTAGAATACAAACTAGAATACACTCGCACACAAGACACTGAGACACTGAAATGCAGAGAGACACACATGGAAACACTCAGAGACACAGACCCACGCACACACGGATACATTCACACAAATACATAAAGACGCATACATAACAAAGACACATGCACATACACAAATACACTCAAGCAGTTGGGCAAATTAACAGATTTTGGCACGACTGTGAATTATCGCATCTTCAATGCATTCCCACCCACCCATACCAGGGCCCACAGTGATTTGTTAGACTGGTGTGCTACAAAGATCGAGCAAGTTCAAAATGTGTGCTGTGGGGTGAAATATGGTGAAGCTAGTTGTAAATACTGGCGAAATCTTTTCTCTATCAAGCAATATAGAGCAATCTTTTATAATTAATGGGAGACTCATAGTTTTACGATGAGCGTACATTTTACTTCTAATCTGCTACCTTGTCAAAATATATGACTCTTCAAACAAATTCAAAAACATCTCCATAGCCTTGTTATTGATAACACCCCGTGTACTGGACGACGGGACGCAGATAGCATCGGCCACAACAGACAGCTCATACGAACTTGCCTTAAGCTAAACAGTGACTGCAACAAACGGCTCAATATTCGACAAAACAGTAGTCAGCATTCGCAAGTGAATGCTTAGACAATATGAAATTTCACAATTTCAACAAAAGAACACATAGCTGGAAAAAAACATCCAAAAGTTTGCCGATACATTTCAGACACGGAAACAGAAAAAGCGAGTTATTATGTTTCGTGATGGCTTCGAGCGCCTCACGTGTTTTTTAGGGTCCCTAAACCTCGTAAAACGAGTATAGTAGGGCAGATGGAAAGCAGAGCACTCGAACAAAAAATACACAATCAATAGGGTGTGACCAGCACGTTTAACACCAGCGAGCAGACTTCAATGATAGAAAGATAAGGAGCTAAGTATACAACATTGTGAAAATGAGCTTTCCTGTGAAAACTAGCAGACAGGCAGCGGACACACGCACAAACTACTCACCAGGTTCTAGGGTCGATGGGAAGGACAGTGCCACCTTCTCGTCTTCGTTCTGATAGTTAAATCCTGTTGCGTTTATTTCTAAAAAAAGACAATGCACAAGTTGATGCAGTTAAGTGCTGGTGGCAGCTTTAATCTTAAACTACCCTCAAGGGAGAGTGATCAAACAAACCGGACTTGTATTCAAAAGATGCTGTTAAAATTTGACTCATTTTTCAGATTCACTGTAAAATACTGAAGAATTATAGGACAGGCTCAACACCCAACAGTGTATCTCATAAAATGTCATAGCCATAACAATCCAGTGAGTTATCTAAATGAGATAACACCAATGAACCACTATCATATCGTGAAACGCATGAAATGCAGGTAATTGCATTATTTTTAAATGGAACCCTCTATCCCTCTGCTATGACATGGCAAGCGACACTTTTAACATGCAGCTATGTTATGAGGTTTGGGAATTTTTTTCCGGTAATGGGTTACCGTAAAACGAGCTGGGAAATCGGAGATTTTCATGCACAATGGGGACTGTACGGTGCGGCACAGCTAACTACTGTCCCACTCGGTAGCATCAAGCAAAGTTGGCTGCAATTCCTCGAAGTTAATATAGATACGGTTTATTTTTTATAAACCGAGATTTTTAAATAGTACCGAGCTTTATTGCTTTGATAAGAGCTTACTTTTAGAACACCGGATTTGTAACTGTGCTTAGCTAAGTGCTTAGTAATTGCTCAATAAGGCTTGCCAATTGGAACTAAAAAAGCAGCCAGGGTGCCTACCCAAAGGAATTTGCTTGATTATATAAGGAGTTTTTTTCTTCTTTCTGTGAATGCATTAATAATTCTCCAGTTACCAAACACAATTGGGCCCATTAATAAAGAAAACAATAAAAGTAAACCAAACATGAACCTTCCAACGTTCCCAAAGGCTACACTGAAAGTGATTTGCTTCCAGAACACAGGTCATTACTGAATAATACTTCACTGGATTGCTAAATTATTGCCGCATGAAAATCGTCATTTTGAGAAAATTGAGATTTTAGCCTGACCTGGTGCAAGGCAGTTTTTCCTTTCCGTCGTGGTAAATACAACCAGTACTGTTGTAGAGGTAGCATTAACACACTTAGCTCAACTACTCAGAGTAGCACTTGAACTATGGTAGAAGCTCGATCTGTAAGGCTGTTGATTTATTAGAACTGTGCTTTATATCAGGACAATACTCCCTCACATTACATTGGTAGGTGGAAGACACATGAAACATTCTGATTCAGGCACACTTCTGAAATAAATCACACCTGGTTTTGCTCCCAGGTGGTGTCCACATATTCAACATCTACTGCAGTGTCACTGTGGAAAGCCAAATGTGGTCTTCCTGTGTACAGACTCGCTCGTGAAATGGTAACGCAGCAATTACACTGCCGATCATGATGACCACTGCCCCAAACTCCTTTGCGCATGCGTCACTTTGATTTTTTACTTGGACTGTAGCTACAGGGAGGAAGAGACATCTGTAGTATCTGTGGCATTTCTCAATAACGAAACCTCACCTTCTCCACCCTCAGGAATGTACGACGCCGTGTTGATGTCAATGTCGGCACAGTTCATCACAATTTGTCCAGTTGGTTGCTTCACCTGTAAAGACAGATGATGCTCATGGTCAATCTTTTCACTTCTAGTTTTGAAATACATTTCATGAAGAAAAATGTTTGCATGTCTTTTATAACTGGATACAAATTACATGGCGAAAAAAAACCTAAATCCAGAACGAAGGAAAAATGTGACGTTGCGGTGAGTTGAAACTTCAACCAAAAACTCTCCAGGTACAAAAACAACACATCAGCAATGATGTTAGTTGCATGCAGTGTTGAATATGACAGCAACTGAAAGAACTCAGCCCTACGGAAAACGATCTGAACTGTGCTAAAACAATATATCAATAAAATGTATATAACTAAGATTGCTAAACATTCTAAGCTGAAAATGGATAATAATAGTTCATATGGATGTTTTTTTTGTATTCTTAGCTCTTTCGGTAAAGTCACGTTGAAGGGAAACAATAAAATATATATAAAACAATACAAATTCTCACGACGTTTCGACCATAACACAAACGGTCATCATCAGGTGTGAAAACCAACGGCAAGAAACATTTGAAAGTGGCGGTTCGCATTTATTTATGTTTTTGTTGTCCTTCCCTCACACCTCTGATTAGCATGGTTGGATATGTACGGTGAAAAAGAAGTTCAACATACATGCATATCAAGATGGCACTCATATGGAGAAGGTGCTATCAGGCTCCAGGGTAGGGTTCTGAGAATGAAGTTAACTGCACAACTGGTACAGGAACCAACGAGCTACATATTACCAAACAAGGAGGCTCGTGGACTATCAAGGCTGATCAATTTAACTTACACAACGCCAGGCTGTGATCACAGAAATTAACTGATTACATGAGAGTGTATGAATGTCCTAGAAATTAAGGGATTTTTTTATTATGTCACCGTCAATAATTTTACTAGCAGACCCCAGGCAAATCCTTCTACTTTTAGAGAAAATTGTTTCCAATAAGAAAGGCAGCAGTGCCGGTTTGCTCTTACGATCTCCAGTCATTTGTGCAATTCATGAAGTGAGATAACCCAAGTGAACAGATGGGTGGAATATTCGTTTGATACAACTCCAACAGGGAGTATAACCAAATATCAAATGAAATATTTCTATTTTAAAATAAAGCTTGCGGCTCAGGTCACATGGCAGGCTTTCGAAATGAGAACAATGTTCAAAACCAGATAAGCTTACAGCTTCACAAGTCTCAGTCTATCCTGGGAGCAATAACTTGAATTTATTATGGGATATTAATTGCAGATGAACAGCTCAGCTTCACGATTTTTAGGAATATTAACTCTAAAAATAATCCTGAGATGTATTAAAACACTAAAATGCTATCCATCACAAAATCGTCTATCATATAAGCACGTAACAATTCATAAATTTAAATAAATTATCTAAATTATCTGTTGCAGTACTAATTATTTTCTCATCACATACAATTAAATGTGAATGACTGGGTTTGGTAACCCCCACAGCTATGAGATATTACGGGCTTCATAACGGTAAGAATTGCGATTAAATATTGAATCGAAGTGTGACCGTGAATGGTGACAGTAAAATCACTGGAAGAGTAAATCATGAAACATGTGGTGTCATCTGGTGTCTTGTGTGCTGACGAGAAGTTTAACAATTCACATCCCCCCCCCGCGACTGGAGAAATGTAACTGTTACCATTCAATGACAGAATTGAATAACAAGTGAAATATGTTGTTGAATAACCAACTCATTTGCTTTGGTTCTTTTAGCCTATCTCACCTGTATAGTGGTGTCTGCTCGAATGGCATATTACTCCACTTCTAAAGACTATTATTCTGACACACACATTTCGATGCATGTACTTGTAAAGGCAAGAATTAATTTTAATTAATGAACTGTTAATCTTTGGTTCTTTCGTTAAAGTCACGTAGTTAGAAATAAAATAAAACAAATGACGACGTTTCGATCGCAACACAAGCAATCGTCATCGGGTGGGACAACTACAGCAAGAAACAACTGCTTAAGAAGGCGAGAGAGCTGCCGTGCCCATGTACCCTACCTATATAGTCTATATAACCTTGTGCCACGGCAGCTCTCTCGCCTTCTTCAGCAATTGCTTCTTGCTGTAGTTGTCCCACCTGATGACGATTGCTTGTGTTGCGATCGAAACGCCATCATTTGTTTTATTTTATTTCTAACTCCGTGACTTTACCAAAAGAACCAAAGATTATGAATTCCTGCAGTCACGAAAGCTTTAAATCAAGATTAATTAACTGTTGCACCATTACATGCCTATTTATTAAGGTGCACAACCTTGCGACTAATTTAAACCAATTATTTTGTTACAGCACTACATATTAAGTTCAACGTCACATATGTGGCAAGAAAACACCTCCGCTATAGTGTAAATCAAGATCATGCATTATATTTGCTAAATATTTTTTAAAAACACAAATCGTAAGTTACTCAAATAGCGCTAACAAATGGATCAGTGTTGATATGTGTATTTGTAGTTAGTGAAGGCACAGCACGCTCACTCGGGACCGCATGGGTAATGAATGTGCTCAAATGCAATGTGTACTTGGTGGTGTGCTTTCTAAAGAGTGGCTGCTCATCGGTTAACTACGGGATGGAGGCAGAGTCCCTTCTGGTGGAGCAGTGGTTGAAATGTTGGGCTCTAGGCCAAGGTTATATTCCCACTGCCATGTTTACACCCAGACTCGTAAAGCTTGCACGGAAAAGGCGCCTCAGCTAGCTGGCACACTATCAAGTAATCACATAACATTACCTGGAATTATACAAGCTGGCGGCACATGCTAAGACATTCTGAACATGTGTAACAGTTTAATTAAAAGGGTGTGCTAGCTATGGCAGCTACAATCATCTATTAGTGATTTATTAAAGTATGGAATGTACTGCATTTATAGATATTACTGTATGTTTAAATAAAAAATCACACCAACCATCAGCAAAATAATGATAAATATACAGAGTACTATTACTTCTTTGCCTTTTGGAATCCTCAGTCATAAAAAGCGGCATTACTCATAACGTAATTTGTGTTACTGTTCTCGATTATAATCTGCTCAACCTGTTGATTACGAACGATGCAATAAACTAAAACTATTGCGACTGTGCAGGGCACGCCCCGCATAGCCACACCCGGGGGCATTGCCGCCCCAATGTGTCGGCCTTATTACATTCCTGGAACCCTGCAGCATGCGCTTTAAATACGTTAATTCCGGAGCTGCTAGTGGAAATTGTATAAAGAGTTCAGCCTAAAAAGTTAAAGTCCATTCCGAGTTCAGACCCTCCAGCTTCAGCTGTCACAGGGCAAAGTGTGGTCACGTAGCCTTTCCTCTTCCAGGTTTACCTCATCACGTTCCACCAATAGACAATCCTGAAACTACTTCACACTCATGTGAATCTGTTAAGCATAATGCAGTACTAACAACAACAAAACAATAGCTCTGCCAACTTAGAGGCACCCTCACCCAATCTACTTTTTAGTTATCCACTGGTTGAATGCACTGAATATATCAATAGAATATTACATCGACAACCACATCAGCACCGGCTGCATGAAGCCGTCTCTTAGCTACAGCCCCAATAAAGGAAGGTACACTGCCGGCCATTCTCCTTTTGACAGGTCTGTATATATGCATCTCACACAGCTTTGCATGGCACACACACACAAACACTGAACCCTCAACAAAGCCTCAACTTGTGCAAATACACTTTCACAATGACCATTTTTGCCCGATAAGGTCTTCTTTTTATTTTTAAAAAAATTGTATCCTACTGCCACAATAAATGAGTACATATTTACAAAGTTCACACAAGCCTGAGGTGATCTCGGGCTCGGCAGAGGTCACTGACTGCAATATCACTGAGAGGCAACAGTCTAGCAAGAGCGTGCTAAACTAAAGGGGCACATACAATTGGAGGTAAGTTATAAATACCCATCGTTATTTTGTTGGACTGTGCGCCAACCCATTGGTGTATTAGGTAGCAGGGTGCTTGCTGGCTGCCAATGGGCAGGGTGCCTAGACTGGGAGTGGGTTCGGGGTTTCACAGCATGAGGCATTTTGTCATTTTTAAGCAGCTGTTGGAAAGTAGCACTTTGCAAATATAGAAATTGGCATATCTAGTATATTATAAGGGTCTAGGGGGGCTCTTGCAAGCATGCAGTAGATGTTTTGTGTATTAATTAACAACAGTAAACTTTGCCAAGTTCCAACAATTCCCCGTGTTAATTTCCACTCTGAACCTCAGTCAGCTTCTGCACACTGTGCTACGTACCCAGTGACCAGGGTTCGATTTCCGTCAACACCAGGTCGACTCAGCCTCAAATAAGTACCCAAGTGCAGTGTGTAAATATCGCCACAAGGGAGACAAAGGTGGCCGGGCATGGTGCTGGCCACCCATTCCCTCATGTGCAGTACTGGTCTTCTAAGGTGCTCGCTAACAGCACTCGCTCCAAAAGTATGTTCGGCTATATGGGGGATCTTTGTTGTCTATCCATGGATATGCAGGTGTGGTGGAAAGAGTGCCATTGGAAAGGGGTCCATGAAACCTTTAAGCCGCTCAATGAACACTCTTCTCTCAAACTGCTTAGATAATATCGTGACATATATACAGTTAGGTATGAGCTAATGACAAGCATAAAAAAGTCATGACAACACCTTGCCAAGTTAGGTACCACTACAACATACTCTTAGTGTTGAACCTAAAACCGTGGATAACACGACCAGAATAAGCTACAGTGCCATTAGTACCATCACATAAAGAGTATTAGCGAAAATAAGCGTTACGAGACATGAAATACACACCAATCGATGTCATCTACCTTTTACTTATTTGGTAAAATTAAAGACACTATATATTATATGGGTTTCAGTCTGTTACTGCCAAGTTTTCTAGCAGAAGGCTGCAGAACAATACCAAGTCACACTCTTTGTTGTATAAGAGACATGAAGGGTTAGATGTTACTTGTAAGAAACCATATCGCTGTTATAAAAAGAAAAACACTTTTTTTGTTGCATGGTTTTATAGCTTCTTGTGAAAGAAACGGAGTACTTCAACTGTCCCTCACCTGGCTCTGGACAGTTTACACTGGACTAAGCTATGACCCTGCTGGTAACGCGTGACCTCGGCATCATACACAAGGCCAAAGTACAAAACCTGCAGAAGGGCAGAGTTACACACAAGTAGAGGCACGCATTTACGCATGGACACACCACAACAAACAGCAACCATCCACAAGACTCGGGACAAAGCCTCATCACCCCCCTTTATACCTCCAAAAGGATTTCCTCACGGCCCTCGAATGTGGAATCCTTGACATCGGGCTTGAGAGTGAGCGCATAGTTGAGTGGCAGGACATCCATCGGCAACCGTTCAAATGGCCTCTTCTCAGGCATGATGCAGCGTGAATGGAAAACCTGTCTGTCACCATCACAGTGTCACCACAAACATCAGTGTCAGTAGGTATTTGCTGGGGCTAAAGGTAATTATGTACACAAGATATATAGATAACTCCCTCTCCAGATGATGCGAGTTATTATCACAACCATATTCATTAAATTACAGTAATACCAGTGACCTCACCATGTACATATTACAGTCTGCACGACCAAAATCACCACCATTCTCGCTCACATAAGCACCATCAGGAACTACCACCACCAGAGCTATAGTACCATCATCAACATCAGTACCATCAACCACCGCCAATGTTATCTTCATCACCAGCACCATCGTTGGCACCCTTAATACACTCAAAGCATCACCACCATCAATCTCCACCATCATATAAAATATTGTAACCGCCACTCTCATCCATCACCACGATCACCATCAGAGTATCATTACCTTTCGATTTAAAGCTTTCGTGACTGTAGGGATTCATCTTCTTGGTTCTTTCGGTAAAGTCACGTAGAATGGAAATAAAATAATAAAACATAATGTTTTATTTTAAATAAATAAAACATTACGTTTTATTTGTGTTATTTTATTTCAATTCTACGTGACTTTACCGAAAGAACCAAGAAGTATCATACCATCAGTACCAGCATCACCGCAAATGCGTGCGGCGTTATCACCAACACCATGACATCACCACCATCACGGTCAATATTTTCACAAACTCTGGCACCACCACCCTCATCATCACAACCAACATCACTTACCACCAACACACCTGCCACCAATGCCTTCACAACTATCCCATATGCTGCATCACCATAATCACCAACAATGTCATCACCATCTGCAGCATCAGTACTACCACAACTATCATCTTGATACAGCTAATTTTGCTGTGTCCGTTCCACCTGAAGACGGAAGCTTGTGTTGCCTCCGAAGCGTCGTGATTTAATTTAGTTTTCATTTATTTTACCTACGTGACTTTACCGAAAAAAACATAGAGTATTATCTCACATCCCATATTATCCCCATATACGGCATCACCGCATATTATCCCAAGACCATCATTATCCTCATGAGCGACACCATCGTCACCACGACCACTAGTAATCATCACCATCAGCAGCATCAACACCAGCACCATCATCATCACCACCGCCACCACCATCTGTGGCGGCAGCAGCATCACCATCATCTTTCACCACAAATATCACCAATCACCGTCACCACCTCCACCAACAGCACAATCACCAAAACCATCGTCACCAACCCACATCAACATTACCATCATCACCAATCCCCATCAACATTACCATCATCACCAATCCCCATCAACATTACCATCATCACCAATCACCACCACCATCCACAATGAGCGGTGACAGCAGCGGCAGACACAACCACCACCACACCTGCACGTGGGGGGCTGCTCCTCTGTACCGCCTCTTCCCGCGATACAAATCCGGCCCAACGATAGCGGCGACGACGCACAAACACGCCCAAGTTATTAACTAAACGAGTTGAGATTAAAACGTGTATCGAATTAGGTGTTCAAATCGAATCTCGTTGTTCGCGACCGAGCTGGGTACGCGACAGTGGAACCGCCGACTCTGCCGCTGCTGCTTTCGGGGGGGGGGCGTCCACAATTCCCAGCGCACACGCGCCTCGGCCCCCCTCCCATTGGCTGGTGCGGCGACCGCCAGCCAATGGCGCGAGAGGCCGGGCGCGTCGCGAGCGCGCCCCACCCCGCCAATGGGGCGGCGATCGGCGCGCGTCCGTTGTAGGGAATATAATCGCCCGCGCGAGGACCCGTAGCAACGCGTTTGGTTAATGTGGGTTTATTTTTCAAACCAATGAGTTAACACTTTTTGCGCGTTGAGGCTTTTTTGTCATATTTTGTGTTACCTTTTGTTGCTGCTCACGGCGCAGTTGGTGACTAAAAGAGGCCTACAAACACCGACTCTGCCCGCTATCTTGAACACTAACGTTTTAGACAGGATCGTGAAGGTCATAATTGATATACAAGTTGTAGGTTTGAAAATGCTGTACACTATAGCAGTGCAATTAAAACAAAAACGTTAAGGAGCACGTCGTGCCGAGTGTAAGGGCACCAATGGAGATTTGCGACGTTCTGACGGCAGATGTCGGCGTCACGATTTAGCCGAGCGTTTAGCGGCCATCTTGGGTGGGGAATTCTCGCGAGGCACTCTGGAGCCTATCCCCTAGTAAGATGGCCGCCAAAACGACATGGACACCACGTGCTCCGCGTCAACCCATACCCCGTGTTCTTGTCCAGGGAAATTGAGTGTCCACGTCCATACGGCGTACAACCGTTTCAATACGGGCAAAAAAAATGTTTGTGATGGGATATAAGGGCACGGAGTGATCAATACGGTCTAAATTGGTCTTTAATAAAGGTAGGCACTAATAAGGGGTTGACATGTGAGTGTGTGGGTGACTCATACCGTGTCAACCCGTACGGGTTACCACGTATTCTTGTACAGGGAAATTTGAGTTTACAGGCCCATACGGCGTGCAGCCGTTTCAATACGGGCAAACAAAATGTCTTTGTTTCTCCCTTGTGATGGGACTTTGTAAGATGAACGTTGAGATTTATAAGAACACGGAGTGACCAACGAGGTCTGAATTGGTCGGTAGTAAGGTAGACACTGATAGGTATGGAATCTGTCGACTGGAAGAATGCTATGAGATGTAAAGCGCTTCTAACATGCCCAGTAGGGAGCGGGTGAGCAAGTTACAGCAAACAATACAAAATACGGTCGGAGTGTAAAATACAGAAAATGATCAACAAGTCACTAAATGTAAATAAACTAGTGCATTGTGTCGGATTTATCACCAAGATAACAGTCCCTCAATAAAATATCACATTAACATAAGTTCCATAGTTCATTTATTTGGTATAGCCCTGTGAGCCATTCGGCTCTTGAATCGGGTGCAACCGTAACAAAAACATGAACAAGAAAACATCTTAAAGTGACTTTGTGTGACTGTGCAAACAGAAAATCCAGGAAAAAAAAACATCAAAATATTCCTGAAATAGCACCGTACACCAACGCTGTGTGCAAAACTCCCAGTGGGATTCAAGTCAAATAACAACCACAAGACAACTCAGATTATGGCCATCAGTCTAAACTCCGTAGTACAATAAACAAAAACATGGCCAAAAAAAACTTTGAAATCACCAAAACAAAGCCATAAATGCAATGTAACAGTGATCATAGGGACTGTGACCGAATTTTTAACAAACTACATAAATAAATTATAACACCAAAATCTAGAGCCATATTTTAGGCCACTGAATAGCAGTGGCAGCTAGGGTTGTACAACTCCTCTAGAGCAGTTTTGAGTGAAGATCTCATTGGTAGTGATTCAAGTTGCAGTTTATAGGCAATAGCATTCCAGACCCTGGGGGCATCAAATAGCAAAAGCCCTTCCTCCGGTTTTTGTACGGCAAAACATTGACTAGTTCACCGTGGTAGTGGTGGTGCTGTTGCGTTGGCAGTGGTGCGCAAGCGCAAACCTACAACAAACACCGCAAGTAAATTTTCGATAACCCTTCCTTGAAAGGAACAGATGTAATCGGCAATGTGTGGAGCCAATGGCCCTTCTCAGCACGAGTTCATGCCACGTGCTATGATAATCATCACATATCTAGCCAAAGAAGCCACACTGAGTCGTAGCAATTATATATAAAATCCCCTTTTAGGGCGTAATGCAGTCTCCGTGTTCTAAACTTATACCACCCGCGATAATAATAGGTGTTGGTGATTTTTAAGCTATCCTCGGCAGTACATTATTGTGAAATAGATCGATTGCGACGTTCACGATTCGCGCAATAGAGTCGATTACTGTGTCGTTCACATGCTGTTTGTGCTGCAGATTCACCTGAATTAAACCATTAAGTCCCCCTCGCGGGAAACATCTAACCGTGGCAACTCTGCACAGTGTAAAACATCGCAGCCCACATCGGCCCCACGGTACGATCCAGTATCCCGAATCCTCCAGCAACTGGATTTGAAATGCACAGGAAACGATTCCAAAAATCCGGTGATCTTGGGAGAGTAATCTTGGCTCGAAACAGGAACGCTAAGCTGAATATCGGAATTGTTTGTGTGGGTGCGGGAGCGTGCGTGTTAAATCTTTACACCCCTTTCATGTAAACCCTTGCAGTTATACGGTAGGGATTCCGTCAAGACATGTGGCGTAAAACGAATCGACGATCCAAAATCTAACCCAACAGGTGCCGGAATCGCGATTCGATAATCCCACTACTGTCTCGTGCAGGACGTTTGGGCCTTCAAGAGGTGCGGGGGGCCTACAGGACGTGCGGGGGGCCTACAGGACGTGCGGGGGGCCTACGAGACGTGTGGGGGGCCTACAGGACGTGTGGGGGGCCTACAGGACGTGCGGGGGGCCTACAGGGCGTGTGGGGGGCCTACGAGACGTGTGGGGGGCCTACAGGACGTGCGGGGGGCCTACAAGGCGTGTGGGGGGCCTACAGGACGCGTGGGGGGGCCTACAGGACGTGTGGGGGGCCTACGAGACGTGTGGGGGGCCTACAGGACGTGTGGGGGGCCTACAGGACGAGGCTCGCCGGCCCCGGGATGTCGGCCACGGAGCGCGGCGAGGGGCTGCAGCTCGAGCTGACGGAGCGGCTGGACGCCTTCGTGCTGGAGCTGCGCGGCGCGGGGCCCGGGCCCGGCTCCCTGAGCGTGGCGCTGGGCGCGCTCACGGTCCTGCGGAGAGCCGTGGCGCAGGCACGGTGGGGGCACGCGGGTAAGGGGGGGGGGGGCACGAGGGTAAGGGGGGGAGGGAGGGGGGGGGCACGCGGGTAAGGGGGGGGGGCACGAGGGTAAGGGGGGGGCACGAGGGTAAGGGGGGGAGGGGGGGGCACGAGGGTAAGGGGGGGCACGCGGGTAAGGGGGGGGAGGGAGGGGGGGCACGCGGGTAAAGGGGGGAGGGAGGGGGGGGCACGCGGGTAAGGGGGGGGGGCACGCGGGTAAGGGGGGGCACGCGGGTAAGGGGGGGGCACGCGGGTAAGGGGGGGGGGAGGGGGGGCACGCGGGTAACGAGGGGCGAGGGAAAGCATGACGGGTTTTGGATGAGGTGGACAGGGTTTGGGTCTGGGGGGTAAGCAGGGGAGGGAGGCAGTGTTGGGGTTAAGGGTCACGTGGGATTTGAGGAAAAGGGGGGGCCAGGGCGATGGGTGGATAAATGGGAGCCTGGGTGGCGGGGGGCGAGAACAGGGTGGGAGAGGTGAGGTAGGGATGGTGCGTGGGGAGGTGGAGACGGGGGCGAGGGGAAAGACCCGCACATAAACAGCAGGAAAAAGAGGGCACGGGGATTGAAGGAGGTGGCGAGGAAGGAGTGGGGGAAGGTGGCAGGGAAGGGAGGTAATGATGGTTGGGGGGGGGCAAAGGAGAACCGGGGGGGGGGGGGACACGAGAGAGATGAGTATTGGGGGTGGCAGTGCGTGCACACCCACGGGGGAATGGCAGACATGGGTCTACTTGGGAGACGTGGTTTACCTGGGCATGTACGGAGGCATTCACCTGGAGGTGACCATATACACAGTTCGTGTCCACGGTGTTCTCCGTGGCCAGGAGTCCAACCGATTCCTACGAACTCATAGCGCGGTGCCACGATACCAATGCGTCACTGCTACACGCCGCGTGCCCGGTGACAATGAGTGAGAAACCTCTCAGGCATTTTAGACTGCTGTGGAAACCAGCACAGTGCAAGAGGGCAGTGTGGTCAGCCCGATGCCGAGTTGTCTTTGTTTCCCCAGTGATGATCTTTACACTTAGCACCAGGTGCGAATTTCATGCTGAGTCGACCAATGGGAAGCCCAGGAATCGTTCAAATATCATTTGCCATTGATGTTAACTGTGGCCAAGAATTCAACCTAGATGTCTGGGAGTTCGTAGTTCAATGCGCTTACCACTTTGCTTGCATGCCATCCTCACGATGCCCTCGATACTTAGTGATACACCAGCGACACAGACGTTGGGACCCATTGACGGGAAGCTCACGCGTGCCCACACAAACCTGCACGCAAGGGACTGCATGTGTGGACACGCGTAAACGGTGGGCGCTCTGTGGCGTCTTCGCTTTGTCCGCTTGCTGTGCTGGCAGGAGAGCTCATGGACGTGATCCGCTCCGTGGGGCGCCGCATGGCCGAGGCCCAGCCCTCCGAGACGGCCTTGGGTAACATGACCCGGCGCGTGCTCAAGATCGTCCGCGAGGAGTACGCCAGGTAGGGTGGGATAGTCGACCCTCGCCATCTCCGAAGTCTCTCTTGGCTCGCTTGACACCTCGTCGCTTTGGGCCCGATCCGAAAGAGTGCTGTTTATGTTGTTAACGAAATCGGCGATGAAAGTATTCGTGAGCAAAGTATTTTTCATTTTTTGTTTTAGTCAACGATTATGAGAGGATGAAAAGTGTGACGATGGCATTGACTGATACCCACCAAAGACCAAAGCTTGACTGACAACTGCAAGACGAAATTAACTCTTCTAAATGAAGTTGCAGCTTAAGATAATGTATTGATGCTAGAGACAGCAGTGCACCGAGGAAGACCAAAAGTGGTAATTGAATATATGTATACAAAAAATATTTCCTGAGTTCACTTATTGGCAGACCAGATAATACTGGGGGATTGAAAATAAGGAATTATTTGGTCATGGTGCATTTGCAGTGGTGCACAAGCCCAATTCACAAAACAACTCAACACATTCATCAATAACTACCTTAAAAATATATTTAACGGGCTACATTTTGGGAAATAGCCCTTCATAGCACATGAAGAAGATCCAAGTGCAATGAAGAAGGTCATTACCCAAAATGTTGCCTCTTATACATCTGTTTTATTTTACAGCAGTGTTTCTGATGAATGTGTTCAACAACTAAGAGTGGGTTTAACACGTAGGCCGACTCGACTAAGCGAATGACTAAATGACATCCTAAGACCTGACTAAAATAATAAAAAAAATAAAAAATGCCGATCACATTGCCACTGCTGGGACGAAGGCTGCGGGGCCACAGCGAGGAAGGCGACCCGCAGGAATCGCTGCACAAGCTGCTCACTGCCGGGCAGCACAGCGACGACTTCAGCAGCAGCTACAGCCAGCTCAAGCCCATCGTCATCGAGGCCATCAACGAGCTGCTACTGGAGCTCGGTCAGACACCCGCGTGCCTCTCTCCCCCGACCTACCGTGACTGCCCACAACCGAACCACGACTTGTCCGACGGGTCTCCGGGTCGTACCGCGTGGTGCTTCGCTTGGTGCCCAGTGTCTTGCTTCGCGCGCTGGGAGCTTTTCAGGAACTGAATATTCAGTCGTTGACGAAGCACTTGGGAGTCGAACACCACGTGGTATAACCCGAAGACACGACTGTATAACCTAAGCAGTACAACCGTGACCCCTTCCCACCCACAACCATGACCTCTTGCACACAATATTGTGTATTCTTTCTGTACTTGAAAATGTATGTGGGTAATGATGTGAGTGGGTCATGAATTGTGAAGTTTTGACATGGTAGCAATGTTCTCTAGGCCAAACTGCTATAAGGGAACATTGGTCATATGGAGATGATGGTGATGCGTGACATGTCATCCACAGCCTGCCAAATCATATATTTCACATCTAGAAAAGATAACCAAGATGTCATCCAGTGCATGATAGTTTTATCCACAGCTATTGTGCAGCATGCAAATGATAGCACAACCCCATCTGCAAACACAGCTGCTCTTTCCAGACATATCTACTCACCCTCAACCTGCAACCATTTATCGCCTCCCTTTCCCTCTGTTCCCGTGCCTTCCCCCATCTCGATGCAGAGGGCAGTGTGGACAACATAGCTATGCAGGCATTGGAGCACATTCATTCCAACGAGGTGATAATGACGATGGGTATGTCCCGCACCGTGGACGCGTTTCTCAAGGAAGCTGCTCGCAAGCGCAAATTCCACGTCATCGTGGCCGAGTGTGCGCCGTTCTGTCACGTACGTACGTGCGTGCGTGCGTGCACGCATCAATACTAATACCCGCCAGTCGCCACGAAGCGACGGTGATGTCACCACGGCCCCTGTGCCAGGCTAGGTGCACTGAGGCTATGTGAAGTGTCAAAGTGTCAAAGGCTCGCTGACAGGAGGTCACGGGACAGACTAGGTGCCATGGGTTGACTGAGATGACTGGCAGATTCACCAGCTGTGCCCCCTACTGTGCCAACTTGCTGCATTTTAGCCACCTGGCCCTCCGCTCGACTCTGGCCTCCGTTATTGGAGAGCGACTGCCTCCAATTGACCACTCGCGTCCTTCATGAGAATGCTCACATACGTGGACATTTTCCCAAATATTCGGACGATCCTAAAAAAAAGTTTCGCATTGAGCAGAAGTATGTCACAGGAAATGATGTCATATCAGTGGCACTACTTCCATTATTTCCCCACCAAAATGCCATCACACCACGTCAGTTTTGCTTAAATAATTTAAAAATAAAAATGTTCTAGTTATATAATTTTTTTACTGTTTTTACATTTAACACGTAGGCTTTCGCGACCAATATTCATAATAAAGGTTTTTGGGTTAGATCGCGTTATTTATAAATGTGTCGTAACCCTCCACCACCCGACACGGCCAATCAGCAAAAAAAAGTATCACGTTGACAAAAGACAAATAGTTTACTACTTTAGCCCACCGGTGTGTTGAAGAGTGAATCCACAACATTTACAGTTTGAGTACGACGTTTCGCTGGTAATTACATCCTGCATCATCGGGCAATTCGCCAGAATGGTAAAGCCCTCGCTTGCTCCCGATCTTAAATAGAGCAGCAGGGTGACGTCATCATTTAACTCATTTCAGGTGCAGTGATTTGAGAAATAACTTTAATCGCTCTGACAGCTACAGGCTTAGTGCGGCTTGGAAGCGTATTATTAAATAATACATATTACAATACCTTATAGGGGAAACGCATACTAATTAACGGATTACTAACGTAGCATATAATCACAATAACACATTACAACTAATTACTAATCTATAACTCATTGCTACTCATAACCATTGACTGATTACCAATCGATTATATAATTACAATACCCCCCCCTCCGCCTCAAATCACTGCACCTGAAATGAGTTAAATGATGACGTTACCCTGCTGCTCTATTTAAGACCGGGAGCAAGCGAGGGCTTTAACATTCTGGCGAATTGCCCGATGATGTTGGATGTAATTACCAGCGAAACGTCGTACTCAAACTGTAAATGTTGTGGATTCACTCTTCAACACACCGGTGGGCTAAAGTAGTGAACTATTTTGTCAACGTGACACTTTTTTTGCTGATTGGCTGTGTCGGGTGGTAGAGGGTTACGACACATTTATAAATAACGCGATCTAACCCAAAAACCTTTATTATGTTTTTACATTATTACATTTTAATATTAATATATAAAATTAGTTTTTTTTCAATCCAACATCTGAAAACATTTAATGTGAAACTCTACATAGCAGGCACACACCTGCGGGGCTTCACACCCTTGTTTACGTAATGTCCACAAAGACTTGCATGCGGCAGGGTGCATTGGAGCTATACCAGCTGACTGTTCAGCAGCATTCGTTCAAGCAAGCCTGATGTTGCTGATGAGATGCTGTGTCAAAACTGGGAAAGAGTTTTCTTGTATTGCACCATTGCTACGGAAATGTACACTTCCAGAAGGCCTTGCAGTTGATGGGCGGGATAACAAATACATTTTTACGTGGAGGAACAGATACAAGGAGGAGATGTATTGTCTGCTTGTTTATTTTGTTGCTAATAGACAACGTTCTTAAAAGCCTAAATGATCCATAATACTCGGTACAGAGTGCAATTAATAATAATCGTCATTGTGTGCAGCAGAGTACATCTACACCTAAAGCACAGCGGCTTGTTGTTTACACACACCGTTGGGCTCCGTAGCTCGCACTGATGCACAAAAGCGTGTTTGTTTTTCAGACGCCCACTGAGTGCACGCACACGATCCTAAACTCATGAGATCGGGCAAAATTCAAAAACGCTCGCCCTCGAGTGGACACCCACACCGCCCGCCCCTGCATTGACGGACACGCGAACGGGCAGGAGCGCACGCCCTCCTCGACGCTCACGCTTTGCAAGCGCAGATGCACGCCCGCGCGAATTCACGCACGGGTGCCCGTCCACACTCCACGCCCCTTTACGCACAAGCGCACACAGTCCATTTCGCTCTCCGTCACGCTTGCATAATAAAACACGTCTTCCCGAGCCAGATTTAACGACAAATCGAGCATGTCATATTTGCGAAGGTGAACGCTGTGCACGCGATGTTTTGTTTATTTCCCCGTTCTCATTTCGAATGGCACCGGATGACACAGACGTCCGATCGTTACAGGGTCAAAAGCTGGCGGTGAGCTTGGCTAAAGTCGGCATTGAGACGACACTCATCACAGACGCTGCTATATTTGCGATGATGTCCAGAGTGAACAAGGTAATCAGCGTGCACTCCCAAGCCCTTGTGACGCTCGCGTCGATGAGCAATGCAAACAAACGCCTCGGCACACCGAGTGGTAGGACAGCATGCGGCTCCACGCTTAGGTGGATTTGTTAAAATGCAAACCCTAGGGGTGGAGGCATTTAACGATGCATCGATTCAAATTCTCTCTCATGCTCACGTTGCATGCATGGTGGATGCATGCATCAAATGTCACGTGTAGGAATCTATGATTTACCATCCATGCTGATGATATGCTATTGCGTGTTAGTTAATCAAGTGAACGTTACCGTACAAACGAGTCGGGAGAAAAATAATTATATATGGAAACAATACGGGGAAAATTATCAACATGCTCTGGATTATTAAATGTAACCGTGACCCCGTATCGTAAAAATCATCGCAGCACTGGGAGGGTGAGACGTTACGTGTCTAGATGACGTCGCTCAACTCGTACGCCCGTTTGCCATTGTTATTGGCCTTTGCTGCTGGAGTGTAAAACTTCTTTCAGTTGAGTGAGAATGAAGATCAAATGAATATACATGAGGGTTGGAGGCCTTCTGCCCTCGGTGGGCCTTTGTAGGACGTTCTTCGCACCGATTGAACATTCTGCCCGCTGCCATGCGCAGGTAATCCTGGGGACGCACACGGTGCTCGCCAACGGGGGTCTGAAGGCCGTGAACGGCGCTCAGACGCTCGCCCTGGCCGCGAAGCACTACTCGACGCCGGTCATCGTGTGCGCACACATGTACAAGCTCTCGCCGCAGGTACGTACGCACCTACGCACGACCGCACACGCACACGCACGATACTTTCCGGCAGGAAGTGCGAGCGGAGGCTTTTCCCGACGTCGACTTTAAAAGCTGATGCACCGCAGCCCGTGGATAACAGTTCCGTTTGCTTTTGTTTTTTTTTCCCTAATTTTACTTTCATTTCTATTCCAATTGGATTGCCAGTGTTATGTCCATAATATGAAGCAATTGTCACAGCTAGTGGCAATGTTGGAGAAAGGTCTTTGCAGATGTCATGGAACTACTTCTGACGTCCCCCTTCAGTAGGCCTCTTTAGCAATACCAGGTGCACACCTTTTACAAGTTCTCAAGAGTGCAAATCTCACCTCGAACCAAACAAAAAAAAATCGGAATTCTCGGAGCTCGAATGAACTGAATTCAACACCCAAATGTGTTTTTTTTGTGGAGTCATTGGTGACCAGACTGACTCACTTAACTTAAGAACATTGTTTTATTATTGATGACTGCCCAGATTCAAACCCAAGATGTCAGCAGTGCAGGCTCGTTGCTCTGATGGTCTGACATAGTGTTGGCACGCCTAATTACTCAGCCACGTCTGGAATTCCATTTTTAGACGTTCTGAACACGATCTATGAGGCTTAAAGGGTGGTCAGCTTCAGCCAAGTCCCGATATCTCTGTCAGCTGAGAATCTTTAAGTTTGCACCTCCGGATCTGCAGGTCGAGACTATTTTTTGACCGTTACAGTTCATGTTGACACACTCCTTACAATACACCTAGGTTTTGTCAGGCTGTGAAACAAACAAAAAAGACTTTTGATTTAAAGCTTTCGTGACTGCAGTGATTCATATTCTTGGTTCTTTCAGTAAAGTCACGTTGAAGGGAAACAATAAAATAATAAAATATATAAAACAATAAAATTCTCACGACGTTTCGACTGCAACACAAGCAGTCATCATCAGGTGTGAAAACCAACGGCAAGAACATTTGAAAGAAGTGGCGGTTTGTATTTTTATTTTTTTATTTTTTTGGCGCTAACGTTTAAAAATAAATAAATACAAATCGCCACTTCTTTCAAATGTTCTTGCCGTTGGTTTTCACACCTGGTGATGACTGCTTGTGTTGCAGTCGAAACGTCGTGAGAATTGTATTGTTTTGATATATATTTTATTGTTTCCCTTCAACGTGACTTTACCGAAAGAACCAAGAATGAAAAAAAAGCTTGTCATTGTTCTGAGCACTCACCGCAAGAAATACATGTTTTTTTCTAGTTTCCGAATGAACACGACGCGTTCCACAAATTTGTCTCCCCCCAAGAGGTGCTTCCTTTCTCGGAAGGTGAGTGTCGCTTTGCCGAGCCCTGTGACCCAGGGGCCCATGCTGTCAGCTCAGAGCCCGCAAGAGGAACAAGAGAGTTCCCACTGCCAATTTGCACATTGCTCTGCTGGAGGAGGGATGTGGAAAAACGTGCCGGACTTTTAATGAAAACAAAAAGCACCTATACAAAATGGAAAAATATTTAGACCCATAAATGTTTTAGTTCTCAGCGTTGGCTGAATGCGCCGTGAAACATTTGAAATTAAATCATCTTTGAAATACATTTTAACAATTTAATTGACAAGTGATTGGTGAGCTCAATATTTTGTTCAAAAGAACCTAGAACTTCAGCAAGAACATAAGGAGTGTATTATCTCCTGTAACCATTAACGACCCCATTCCAGCGCGTGGCATTGTTCAAGAGATTAATGGTGATGTCGAAGGCTGCTCGCCATGCGAGGGCTTCAGGAGAGAGCTCGTGCTTTTGCTATTCCTCCATTGAAGGAACACGGACTACATTGGTTTACTTGTGCGGGTCCATAGTTTGGGGTGCATGGCCACACTAACACTGGCTTGTCTTTAGATAATTATCCATTAACGAAGGAGTGCGCATCGGCCTGCTGATGATGTCATTCGCGAGAGTAGGTCATTGTGTCACAGCGTTGACCGTCAGTCCCAAATTAGAACATTTACCCCAGCTTCAGATTGGTAGATGAACATACAAGGTATTCATTCTTACAACGTTGACAAGGTCTCCGATGAGCCCGGTTGGCTACGTACAGTGCGAAAGAACTTCAACAGACATACAAAAGACCCGGTGAATTCCAGTAGGCCCTCCTCACCTGCCAATCAGTTTCAAAGGCAATGCATGTATATCATCAGGACATGTTTGTTTCCATGTTCACCACAAGTGTGGTTAAATGCAGACCTGATTCCTTGCAAAACTATCTATTTGGTGTTGGAACATCTTAACACACCTGTTTTATTTCCAGAAAGGGTCAAACATAACCTGATTTTGCATTCCTCACCTGTTCGAGCGAGGGGGCACTGTTGACGTGTGTGGCCCCGTGTCCTTCCAGGCGAGATCCTCTCCAAGGTGAGCGTCTACTGTCCCGTGTTCGACTACGTCCCTCCCGAGCTCATCACCCTCTTCATCTCCAACATCGGGGGCAATGCGCCTTCCTACATCTACCGCCTCATGAGCGAGCTCTACCATCCGGATGACCACGACCTGTGACCCGTACCTTTACGGAAACCGAGAAGTGCAAAACTCCGCCGCTCGCTCGTGCGCCGCTCGTCATCGCTCGCCTTCACGGAGCTCGATCTTTCCTCGGATGTCCCCAGCCACTGATTTGCGCAGGAGAAACCTAAAAATAATTTTGTTTTGCGTTGGCCATTACTTGTGAAGCGTGTTTGTCAATTGAGAGGAAACCTGCACCCGCCGGAGAAATCCCCCACGCATACGAGGGGGGGTGACAGCGCTGCCATCTTCCTGGCCACCCTTTCAACAACGCTTGGGAAGCCACGGTGCTTACCCAACCCAAGATTAACACGGGCACCTCCACAGTTACGATTCAAGTCTTCGCCGCCTCGTGCCCTCGGCTGAGACGCTCGTTAGATGAACGTCCCGCGTGCGACGTGGACGCGCTCGAACGGCATCGCGTTGCAAGGCATCGGTGAGCACTTGCGCGCAAGTCAGATGTGGCACGCGCCGAGGAGACGCGCCCTTCGGTGGAGTAAACCATCACGCACGTTGCAAACCAATACGTGGACACGCACACAAATATCGCGTTCATGTAGAGTGTGACGAAAATAAAAGAGGAAAAACCATTGGGTTGTGGGACTTGGATTTCTTTTTTGTGTAAAGCACTTTTATCTCCTCACAATATCACAAACATATTGCACAATGTTACAGTATGTATATCGTTTGTAATATATAAGAAGTGGTAATGGCTAACGGTGCGGTAACAATATTGACGACAAATCAGCGTGTTGAGGGGGGGAACGTTTGTTTTTAACAACTAGAAAAGACTGCAGGCGTCACAGATCCCCCACCGCCCTCCCCTACCAGTCGGGCACAACAGCATGCACTTTCCTCAAGACCCACAAAAACACCACCAAACTTCACAGCTTGCGCGGAAAGATTCTTTCCCGACCGGAGCGACAAGACGAGTGTGTAGAGGACCCCGCCGGTAGTTTGACTTTGAAAATAAAAACCACGGGACGTCGTTTAAAAAAAACAAAAAACGGGAGAGGATTGCAGCGGCGACCGTTGCTGGCGAGAGGCCGGCGCCTGACGGATGGAACTCCTCCCGCAGCGTGACCCTTGGGTCGGGTGAAGCGGTCGAGGAGTCGAGTGGCTCGTTTTGTTTGTTGGCGAGCTGTCGCGAGGCGAGGCTCGCGACACTGGTCGAGCCGCGACAAGAAACGAAGCGAGCGGCGTGTCGCGCAGTTGGTTTGAGAGGCGAACGAAGTCCGCCGGGGATGGAGGACGTGCCCGGTCGTCCGCTTGGACCTCTCCGCTCGTGCACCATTTTGCTCTCGCCCGCTCTGCCCTCCCGTTGGCAGCACTTGCACCGTTTTCTACTCTGCGAAAAAATGTCGTGACCTGAAATTTGAGCAAATCGCCGGCGTGGCGATGGAAACTTCCAATCGGATCATCACCAGAGGTCGCCTGACTACCCGAGGGGTTGTGTGCACTCTGGAGAGCATTCGTGAAAAAAACAAACACACACGCTTGCACAAACTCTGTTTTCATCGGCCATACAGTACCCGTCAAACTGCCACCGCCGTACCCAGTTGCCTTCGTTGCTCCTAGTAAATGCCCATTTACTTGTTGCGACCGTTGCCCTACATTCGACTTTGAGACACGGCCCCAAGCGCCTTCCCGTCGTCGTTCGCCGTGGCCGTCGCTCCGTCCTTCCGATGGTGACCGTGCGTGGCGTCGCGGGTTCACGCCACGTTTGTTGCTCGCCGCGCTATCGCTGCGTGCAGGCGAGCTGCCCCCGAGTTACACCTCCAGGGGTTTTACCCGTTTTTCATGTGGACCCATGGGCGCTAGCGATCTTTTGACGGAGTGATACGCGAGGGGCGCTGGTTGTATCGGGTTGGGAGAATACAAGGCCCTTGGAAAAGCTCCGTGTCGTGAGAGGTCCAGAACACCGGTGGTTATTGCGGAAGTTACTCGGCATATGATCATGATTGATCGATTCAATGATTGATTTGCAGCGAATGAAGCGCCTCGAGTGGATGCACTGGTCGCACGAACCCGTTACATGAAACGCATACATTGAAAAAACCGTGATGGCACGTTATTCCACACGTGCGTCGTCCTACAGGTGCGACCGAAGCATAAGTTAATCGCCAAATCGATGCATCGGTTGGTATTTACCAACTCTGTATTTCAATCAACTACCAGTATGCACCAGCATGCATCACCTAGAACTGACCGACAGTCCCTAATCTGGATGAAAGTCCATCGAAGCAGAACATTTTCACTCCAGCAAGGTTCCTTATCTACCTAGGGTGTTGGGTTTCCATTGCTGGGAGTGCTGTCATAAGAGCATGCATTCATTTTGCGGATGGACTTGAACAAGGAACATGACCTTTGTGGTTGTAGCCTTATTGTGAGTGGAAATCTGTGCCTGGAAAAGTCACCATCGGGAAGACTTATAATATATTACATCAACGGTAATACTAGGACAACCACAAATTAACGCACGGTTACTAAAAACCCATTTATGCATTACACATTTATCATACGACATTCAGCATTGCCTCTCATACTTAAGCTCGCCAACGCATGGTTTTCATCATTTTGGTTGTATTTTGCATATTTTCTTGAAACGCTACATACGAAACTCGCTTCATTCCCCCTCCCACCCACACCCCCTTGATAACGATGCGGGGCGGAACAAACGCGGAGCAGTGCCCAACTCTGCAAAACCTCAATCTGTCGTACTAATGATGATAATGGCAGTCATCAGAATAAAAACCCACGTCCGACGCCAACTCCTCGAGCAGGTGGTCGCCGCGCGCCCGTGAGGGCAGGAACGGTGAGGCCGCTGAACACAGCGAGCGTTCGCGCCTGAACACAGCGAGCGCACGCCGCCGTTCTGGCCTGAGAAACGATGCCGAGCGGGAAGTGGGAAGAAGCAGAGAACCGAACCACAACGCACGGCAGCCACGCTCCGACCATTCACGGCATGGGGAAACGCAGTGCGGTGAAGACAGGCGGGGAAGGGGGAGAAATCAACCTCAACTCGATTATCCGCGGGCTGATTAACGGTCTTCGTTTGCGTCTCTCGCACGTGCCACCGCTGCTTTGTATTTTTTGCGACTCCTCTCGATCGTCGAGGGGGTCTGGGGCACTGGGTGCCCGTCTGACCGCAATCACGTCGACGAGAGAACGCGTAGGTCTGTGTCCTCGCGACCCTTAATAGGTTGGCAACGGACACAATGGCTTTGCCAAATTGACACGTGTTTTCCGTTATTCCGTCTGTTTTGTTTTATCCGTGCCGCCCGCCCACGCCCTCTTGCTCCCCCATAAACCGCAGATAATCGAGGGGGCGGTCGCACAAATAAATAAAACAAAGCGATTGTCTTAACTGGACGACAGTGAAACGTGACAATAAACATCACGGTTAGGGGAGTGATCTACAAAAGGAAAGTGCTGAATTCTAGATTTTTGTTATCTTATTTTTTACCTACGTGACTTTACCGAATAGAGCCAAAGAGTATGAAAGTGCTGAAGTCACGGCTTTGCTCTGAGAATTCCATCAGTGTAAGGGCAGCCTGTGCTTTATTGTAGTTGGAGTTGAGGGGAGGGGGGGGGGGCTAAGTGTAAGCCACAGAAACACTTGGGGTGGGGGGGGGGGGGTCATCCGTTCGGCCGATCCTGAAACTCAACGGCGCTTGCGCTTCCTCGGCGAGGGGCGGTTTTAGCAATAAAAATCAAATTACCAATCGGTCGATCTGTCGCCAGAGCGGAGTGATGAGGTCCGATCGAGGACAAAACGCACGGTGAGGTTTTGTGCAGGCATTGGTGTTTAGGCTGAGATCATTGTCACCTCTCGCTCGCTCGCTCGTCCTTGGCGAGCCTGGTTTCACCAGGGCCAGCTGCTCGCATTGGGAAAGCGGGGGATCTAAAAACAACAGTGGGCCACCACGCTCGGAGCCACGTGGCGACAACCGATCCTCCAGCAACGTCCACGTGTGCATAGATGCGTGCGTTGTCACGCCACTGTTTTCATCGAGCGGAGAACGCGGCTAAATGGGTGAAGACCGGGTTGAGGGGGGGGGAGTGCAGAAGATGTGGGAGTGATTTGACCGAAGACGCTTTGGTCCCGGGGTCTCGCTTGGCAACGTGGACTCTCATGGAGCCAGCACTGCCGAGCCACCCCGAGTCAGGACAGGCCCCTGGGGTGACTCGGCACTGCCGCGCTACACACTGACACCGAGAGAGAAGGTGCCGATCTCTCACTCTCATGATTCCAAGTAACGATTTTTAACGGTGATGGGGGTGGGGGGAGCCCAGTGCGTCATGCGAAAGTGACACACACGTGACGATCACGTGACGATCACGTGGCGACGCTGCTCGCAATGACCGCCACGTGCTGCTGTTCGTGGTTATTACTCGTCACCAACGAAAAGTAAACTCAACGGATAACAAAAAAACAAGAGCCATGATTTTACGGTACATGTATTCTGTGTATGAATACACACGCTATATACATATACACACAGCATATATGTACATATGATGTATCCAGACGTAAACACTGCATATATACATACACATAAACTGCGTATTGCATATACATACGTACATGTACAGCATACATATAAATATGTAGTGAACGGGCAGGTCTTACTTTTTTTCCTAAGAGGAGGAGAGATAAAGGCTGTCGACGTTAAAACCGCTTGTACAGGTGAGTGGACGGGGGAATCACGCACGAACGCACACGCACGTCTCTGCACGGAAAACTACCCAGGCACTGAACACAGGTCCCACCCACCCACCCACGGCCTAATGCGCTACAGTCACTGCACGGCCCCAGAGGCTCGTAGGTCCCGATTTATTTGCATGCATAAAACCAGTTCTGCCAGACCGCCGCCGTGGGGAGCACCGCCACATTCAATCTTCCGAGCCGACGCAGTCGACGGGCATTCGCGGGCGGGTTTCTACACGGGAGTCGTGCTTCCTCGCGCAGCGTCGTCCCCCCATTGTTCTCTGGCGTTTGATTTTGTGAAAAGCCACCCTTATCTTTTCGATCGGTCGCCCTCTCTCGGCTTGGCCGTCCCTTGCGCGGCTGCCGGGGCCGCGGCAGCTCTGACCCGATCGTTGCCAGGGCCCCCCGGGTGATTGGGACGCTCTGCTCCTCCCTTGTCCCTCTTCTTGCCACCCGAAACCAGGCTCTTGAACGCCGAGCCCAACGACTTCGCCGGCAGCTTCGGGTGCCCGGGCCCGGCAAGCTCGTGCGCCGAGTCCGCCTCCGACTTCCCGCCGCCTGGGGACCTGTCGCTCGCCGGCGCCTCGGGCGCCATTGTGGCGGCGGCGGTGGGCGAGACGGTGAGGCCGTGCACCGCGCGGCCGGACGAGGACGAGGGAATCTCCGCCTCCAGCTCCCAGGGGCAGATGTCGCCCAGGTTGGCAGCCGGCTTGCGGGCCGAGCCGTCGCCGGCCTCCGCACCCGGCTCGTCCGCCTCCCCGGGCTGCACCTCCCAGGGGCAGACGTCGGCACGGGCCACCGCCGCTACCACCACCGGCGCCGCCGGCGCTGGCTTGTCCTGCGGCGGCACGGCGACCGCCTGCGCCGGTACCGGCTTGACGGCTTCGGCCATAGGGCTGAGCTTCTTCGTGCCGTCCTCGGGGCTACTCGCCGCCGGCGGCGGCGGCGGCGGCGGCGGTGCCTTCGTCTCGGCCACCGCGGCCGTCTCGGGTGCGGCGCCGTTCCTGCTCGCGCCATCGCCGCCGCCACCGCCGCCGACCACCTCCGTAAGGCTCTGGTGACGCACGGGCGCCAGTGCTGCCCTGTGGCGGCCGACCTCGGGCAGCTTCCCGGCGAACTGGGTGCTGTCCAGGCTGTGGTAGCGTGCCCCGGCAATGGACGTGTGCTTCTGCGGCGCGATGGAGACGTGCTTCTGCGGGCGCGACGGGTCGACGGGCGGCGGCGGCGTGGACGCCATGCCCTGGAACTCCCAGGGGCACACCTCCTCACGGTTATACTCCTCTTCCGGCCGCGGTGTGTTGTCGGCGAACGTTACGCCGTGGCGCTCCTCCGACGAGTTGCGCTGCGGGTGATGCGTCTGCGGGGACTGCGGCCGCGGGCTCTCCTCCTGGCGCGACTTGAGGCTTGAGGCCTTCACGCGCTCCTTAGCCTCGCTGGCGGCGGTCGCTGCGGCGGCAGCGACGGTGACGGTGCGCTTCATCCCTGTGGCCGCGGCGGCCGGGACCTTGGCAGTCTTCGTCTCCTCCTGGGCGACGTGGTCCTTTCGGCCCACGGCCTCCGACACCGCCGCCACCACTGGAGTCGTCGCCACCTTGGCCTCGTCCGTCTTGGCTTCGCTGACGCCCACTTTGCCCGAGAGGGCAGCCGTCCTCTCCCTGGCGCCGCTGATGAGGCTGAGCGACTTCTGCAGCAGCGACGGCTTGAGCACGTGGTGGTGGTGCTGGTGCTGGTTGTGGTGGTGATGGTGGTGGTGGTGGTGGTGCTTGCCCACTGCGGACGATGGAGACCTCTTGTCGGAGGCCGACAGGTTGTGCGCGCTGGCCGAGCGGCACACGAGCGGCGCCGAGTCGACCGACTCGCTCTCGCCGCGCGCCTCCCCGTCTGGGCTCATCTCCTTCCCGGACGCCAACCCCGAGCTGGGAGCCGACCTGTCCCGCGGGGAGCTTGCCTCTACCCCCCCGTCACCGGAGCCGGCCCCCGCCCCGGGCAGCGGTTCCGCTTCCGCCTTCTCCGACGTCGACGCGGAGCTGGGCTCCGACTGCTCCAGCAAGTGGTCGTAGGAGCTGTACGACTTGGGCAGGGCGAACGCCTTGTGGTTCGTGGTGCCGGTCGCTGTCGACGACCGCTGCTGCTGCTGCTGCTGCTCCGCCCTCCCCCCCTTCGCCGCGTCCGCCGTGGGCGAAGGCGCCGCGGCGACGCCGGTGGCGGCAACGACGCCGGCGGAGGCGGCGATGGCCACCCGCTTGCAGGAACCCGGCGTGTGGGGGCCGTGCGCGGAGCCCGCCGAGCCGCCCGCCCCGTGGCCGTCGCCGCCGCCGCCGCCGCCCCCCCCGGTCGCGCTCCTCGCGGCTGCTCTGCCGCACGACGTTCTCGGGCAGCTCGGTGATGCGGCGCATGATGGAGCGGCCGAGGCCCTTCTTGGAGCTGCGCTTCTTCTGCAGGTGCGGGTTGTTGGAGAGCATCTTCTGGCCCTTGTAGACCTCCAGCTGCGCATACAGCCGCTTCAGCTCGTCCTGCGGTGGCGAGGCAATACTCGGTGAACGACAAACGTGGACAGGGACACACGCCTCCCGATTAGCACGGCCGGCTACGTACGGTTTGAAAGCAGTTCAACGTGCAGACATTCCATGGAGCTGTGCAAAACTGTGAGAAACGGCTTCGGGGAGGCCTTAATCCAGCAGTGGATTGTTCATGGCCGATGATGGTGAAGTGATGAATCGATACACCTCGAGCGGTCATGCCCTTACCACTGGGGCCACCGTAAAACTAAACTATTTTTTATTTTACCAAGTAAAGCCCGCTGAGCTCTATAGCTATTTTCAGAAGCGGCCTGGCCACAAATGATAGCTCAATGAAGTGGCTTATCACGTGGAAATGTATAGCAGCGAGTTACTCTAAACGCATGATTCTAAATGTGGAGGGGAAAACCGGAGAACACGGAGAAAATTCCACATGACCGCTGGGAGAGAGACACCGCCAACTCCAAATATACAGCAGGCGTCAGCATTTGGGATCGAACCCACGACTTCCTGCATACCAGGAGAGGTAGTTAACATCTCCTAGCCACACCCTCCGCCCTGCGTCTCACCCGCAGGTCCTCGGGGTCCATGCTGTGTTCGCTCCAGGCGGAGGCGATGCTGGAGTTGAGGTAGGAGCCCGAGCGCCGCATCACGTCCAGCTCGTCCTCGTACGCCTCTGCAGCGATGTCGTCCCGCAGCGTCGCTCCGGAGCAGGCGAACTGCACGCGGAGGGGGGGGGGGGGGGGGGGGGTGGGAGGCGGGGCAGGGGGTGAGAGGTGGGCGCTAGCGGGGAACAACAAAGACAAAGATTCCTCCCTGTACCCTGTAATGGACTGTTGGGGCAAGTGCTGTTCGCGGACATGCCTGCAAGCCGGCACTTAGGAGGCATGTCGCGAGACTCTCTTTCCGCGGGCGTCGAGGAGCCGTACCCTGACTCGCCAGAAGGCGGCACAGCAGAAACGTGGACCCCACCTGTTTCGTCTGTCCGGGATAGAGTGTTTCCCCCTTGCATGTGTGGGTTTTCTCCGCTTGCTTCAATTTCATCCCACATGCAAACACGCATTAATTGGCCGACAACAGCTTCATATACAGAGGACCGAAGGGCTTGAGCAATTGTTGGCACTGGCTCGCCACACGGCTGCCTTGCTGTTTGTCTTTGGCTCCCCACGCCTCTGAGTCGTTCTCTCTCTACCAGAGTGAGCAAATAGTGCGCGGCTCATTACAAGTTGATATTATTACGATGACCACAAACGAGAGGGTGGGTGGCCATCACCATGCCCGGCAGCCTTTGTCTCCCATGTACGAAGCTGAGGTTGAGTCAATCTCAGGGAGGCCCAGGACCGGTTCAGATATTTGTCAGCGATGTGAGACACGAGTGGGAATCAATCTTGTGTCACGGGGTTTGTAGTTCAGTGTGCTAACCAGTGCACTGCGCACACATACATACATGTGTGCATATACACACACACACACACACCTTGTGTAAAAATACATCACGGACGGCACGCACACAATGGCATGCACACACAATATCATGCACGCAGATACACATACCACAGATGCATATGTACATACATCAAAACAAGCATGAACACATACACATACATCATGACACGCACACGTGTCTTGAATCGCACATGTGCGCACATGCACTCTACGGCACGGATGTAGAAATACATTAAGCACGCGATGCTGACCCAACTTTGGCCCAACGGTTCCCACCACATGCCAACGTTGGCCCAACTTTCGCCCAACGTTGCACGTCTACTAGAAGTGCACATTCGCAATCTTACACGATCGCGCCGACAGTTTGGATTTCGATGAAAAGTATTTGCGGACATTCACGTCGATGTAGATTTCTGCCACGGTTAACAATTTCCAACGCTACAAATCTCCCGTGCTTAGTGAAACTTGTTGAACTCGTCGCAGTGCCTAGATAGGAAACGGCGCCTACAAAACCGCAGCAGTCACACCGAGTTCTTGCAGGCCTCATTTCTAATTCTCGTGTGCATTCTGCGCTCTTTCTTTCGTCGAAGAATGTATCGAGCCGTCACCAGTTAATGTTTGCCCTCCGTAGGCTGATGACTGCTAACTCTGGGTTGTATTATTACCCGACAGCTGATCGTATTAGGGAAACCGTCATTCAGTCGTGGCCGGATCAAGCGAACAGAGATGGAAAGAAAGCAAATGAAAGGACTGCTCCACGCAATTGATCAAACAATTGAACATTTAAAACGCAGCTGTTTTTTTACATTAACCCCGATAGAACAATTGCAAGATAAATAAAAGCCCCCCCCCCCAAAAAAAAAAAACACAATAAAACATTTAAATGGAAAGGTCCGATTTAACTTAACGTGCATACATTAGCGGCGGTACAAAGCGCTGAAGGCTCACTGGTGTGGTGGGCAAACGCGTGTTGGCATGACAACGTAACGAGCACCATTTTACTCGTCCATGGGTCCCGAGCGCTCGTGCAACAGTGGGCAGTGTCCGGGGGCTCACTCCCCCCCTCCCTCCCTCCCTCCCTCCCTCCCTCCCTCCCTCCCTCCCTCCCTCCCTCCCTCCCCTCCCCTCCCTCCCCTCCCTCCCTCCCTCCCTCCCTCCCCTCCCTCCCTCCCTCCCTCCCTCCCTCCCCTCCCCTCCCTCCCCTCCCTCCCTCCCTGTTCTCCCTCCCACCGCCTGATCTCCCTCATTCCGCTCTCCGTCTCCCTCCCCACCCTCCTCCCTCTCTTCCTGCAACAATCCCTGCTAACCCCTGCTTCTACCTACCTCCCCGATCTCCTTCCCTCTCTCCCTGCTCTCCCTCCTTCCCCTCCCTCCCTCTCTCCCTGCGCTCCCCCCATCTCACCCTTATTGCACTCTCTCTCTCTCCCTGATCTCCCTCCTTCCCCTCCCTTCCTCCAACTCTCCCTCCCTCTCTCCCTTATTATCTCTCCCGGCGCACCATCCCTCTCTCCCTGCTCTCCTTCTCCTCCCTTCCTCCAACTCTCGCTCCATCTCTCCCTTATTACTCTCCACCTCTCTCTCCATCTCTCCCTGCTTTCCCCCCATCTCACCCTTATTACTCTCCATCTCTCTCTCCCTGCTCTCCCTCCTTCCCCTCCCTCCCTCTCTCCCTTATTACTCTCTCTCCCGGCTCACCATCCCTCTCTCCCTGCTCTCCCTCCCCTCCCTTCCTCCAACTCTCGCTCCCTCTCTCCCTTATTACTCTCCATCTCTCTCTCCCTGCGCTCCCCCCATCTCACCCTTATTACTCCCCATCTCTCTCTCCCTGATCTCCCCCCATCTCACCCTTATTACTCTCCATCTCTCTCTCCCTGATCTCCCTCCTTCCCCTCCCTTCCTCCAACTCTCGCTCCCTCTCTCCCTTATTACTCTCCATCTCTCTCTCTCCCTGCTTCTCCCTCTCTACCCCTCATCTCTCTCACTCTTACGTCCCTCACGGCTCTCCCCCCCCCCACTCCCCGTCCCCTCACCCCCCTATGCCTCCCCTCCCACCCGTACCTTCGGTATGAGCAGCAGGCCCACGGTGACCGTCACCGTCAGCTGGGTGTGAATGAACACCATGAGCAGCATCCAGTCGGGGTGCAGAGTGAAGGTCATCACAAACCTGTAACCACGGCGACACCATGGCAACCGTCAATGGCAGCCTCCCACGAACGCCGTCATCTTGTGGCAGATTTAACAACAACAACAACAACTCCTTGTTTGCAGGAGTTGTGTGGTGAAGGGATGTGGTGTGGGCTGGGTTATTGATTATATAATATTTTAATTAAAGATTCCTCTCTCACCTTGAACTATTTAATTTGGCGGTGGGGGTGGGAGGGGGTGGAATCCTACAGGTTATTTTTACAAAATCTATTTTTTTTATCTCCATTTAATGTCTTTAACTCTCAAGGGAGACCTGTTTGAAATGTATACGCTTCCTACGTCTCCCTTGCAAGACATATGATGATAATGATGATGATTCTAATGGCAGCTCTCACCTCTGGTTAAATAAAGGATGATCAATGAACAACCTTTTTAAGAAAGGAAACAAATTCCCCAAGCCTCAGCAGACGACTCTCGCCGCTCCGTCTCCCTTCCCGTATTGAGTTAAGCGAGCACGGTTAATGTGTGCACTCTCGCTCCAATTTAATATCCACCGCCATTAATTATTCATGCAAAAGCAAGGGTGTTGGCACCGGACGCAATAGAATACAATTCAAGCATGAAATATTGAGAGCACGGCGAGCCCCGAGCACGGCGGAGCGGCTCGGGGCCCCAAGGGACGCGATCTCTGCGGGCAGTGTCAACACGTGGCACGCGCGGCCACCAGCGCGCTGGGGAAGAGAGAGGCGTTTTTCGTCGTCTTTATCGTCATCAAAGTCGTCATCATTATTATTATCGTCATTGTCATCGTAGTCGTCATTATTGTCATTGTCATCATTATCGCCATTATCATCATCATCATCGTCATCACCGTCGTCATCACCGTCATCGTCATCATCGTCGTCAGCATCTCATCATCGTCATCATTGTCGTAAACGTCATCGTCATTATCGTCATGATCTTAATCTTCATCGTCGCCATCGTAACCATCATCAGATAGTCATCATGATCATCATAACATCATCATCATATATCCATCACTAACCATCAGCATCATCATTAAAAATGTAATTATAATAATTTCCATCAACAATCTAGTCATCGCCATCACTTCATCATCATCACAAAGCAGCATTGGCATATTAAAAAAATCGTCATCGCTATCATGAATAATAATCATGATCATTGCAAAGTGTCCTCTTGTTCATAACCATGCAAATAGATTTTAATAATCCTTTACAGTGTGAGCAATTATCTTCATGATTATCACGATCGCGTATTCTCGCGAAACTGTATTTTTTGTTCCCTGATATGCCAGTGAGGTCGTTATTCACGCACTGATGTATTTGCTTGCGATTGTCTATCCCGTCTGCGCTCAGGTGACGGCGTTACGTCTCGTCATAGATTAATGCGACCGACTCGACGATCGCTTTGATTAATTCAGCTCAGCTGGGACCCACGGCCAAGGATACATTTTCAGTGAGAACTTTTGATTACCGTTTAAAATCGACAAGCGGTTTTTATTTGCATTGCAGCATGCATTTAATTCTCGCCACTCAAATGCATATTTGCAAAATAAGTATACGACAGCGCCGTGGTCCATCTCAACAGGTTTCAAATGGTGGAATTAATGAATGTACTTGTGCGTCTGTTATTTCTCGCTTTGAGGCGAAGGTTGAACCTATGTCTGGAATTAGTTTATTGAAATAAACCTGGATTGGGTGAAGCGGCAGTGAAGTGGTGAGCGGATTGCGCTATTAAGCTTGATTCCCAGCCATGGATAAAAACAGCAACACCCCCCGCCGCCTTTGTCTCTCCCCAGCGCTGATGTTTACTACACACCGCACCAGGCACTCATTTAAGGCTGAGTCGATCTAGCTGCGGCCCAGGACCGGTTCAGATAACCATCAGCAATGTCGGCCTTGAGCGGCAATTGAACTCGGGTCACCTGCTCTGCAATGGGGTGCACGAACCCCAACACTCGCATACATATTGTATATGCAAACACACACGTATGGTGTAAGCACACAAAGACAAAGATCCCTCGTACGTCCTTAACAGACGGTGGGGGCAAGTGCTGTTAGCGAGTAGCACCTCTGAAGGCCGGCACGGCGCATGAGGGCGTGGGTGGCCAGCACCACGCCGGCCGCCTTTGTCTTCCCAGTGGCGATGATTTTGCACAGGTAATCATTTGAGACCGAGGACCGGTTCAGATATCGTCACTGGTGTTGGCCATGAGCGGGAATCGAACTCGGGTCGCCGGGTTCGTCGAGCGGCGTAGCGTTAACCGCTACACTACCGCTTCCCCACGGAGTAAACACACACAACACCGTCCACGTGTATACGTCACATACAGTGGGTTCTAACGTTTTACAAAGGGGGTTGCAACCTAGCTGTTTACTCAAACGCCCGTCCGGCAGGTGCAGTCCGGACAGATTCAATTATCTCACTCAGAGAGAGCAGCGGGGGGGGGGGGGGGGGGGGGGGGGGGGGTGCATGACTCTGCGTTTGAAATTACGCCGCGCTACGATGATTGAGAGCGAGAACGGCGGACCTAGAGATCCCTGGGAGACGTTGTGAACACCCGTGATGGGATGAGCCACGTGTGAGATTTAAGGGCACATCGGTGGCCCCCTAGCCCAGCGAGCCTTCCCACACAAAATCACGTGGCCTCAAGGTGCACCTAGCCTGGAATTGCTGGCGTCATCAATGTTGTTGTTCGTGGAATGTGACGAGTCCGGGGAAAGCCACCCGTCCTGGCTTTCCTAGGATTGCCTGCTTGTTCCCAGGATCACCTGCTTGTCGAGGAGGAAGCTCTTATCTTGGGGGATCTTTCAGACTTCCTTGGACATTAAAAGTCCCGGTTTATCGGCAGTTGCCAAGAAAAACATAATTATAATACACCGCTAAAGACAAGCTTTTGCCTGCAGTTCTTCCATATTCCGGTATCGAGAGATATCTTTTTTTCTTACGATATGTCATAGGATTTTTTTTAATGTCTAAGAGGTGGTAACCGTAGGTGAGAGTGTGCGTGCACTATGCAGCGGTGGCGCAGTGGTGAGCGCACGAAGCTACAAACCCAGCGACCTAAGTTCAATTCCCACTCACAAACCAATAACAATGGTGAATATTGAAACCAGTCCTTGGCCTCCCTATGTCAACTCAGCCTTACATGAGCACCTGGTGTGGAGTATAAAGGGGACAGCTTTTTCAGGAGTGCACCTGACTGATCCCCAGGATATGCTCCACCGTCACTGTAAGTTTAAAGGTTTGTTTGTTTAGTATCTATGACATCTATTTATCTATGCGTATCTGCTATGTTTGCGTAAGGGCTACGTAAAGTCGAAAACGTGTCGTGTACAGGTTGTGGGAACACAACATATTTGGGGAGTGCGATGGTACAAGAGGGCCGGGCGAAGCTGAGCGCTGCTGGCGAGATTGAGGGCGGGAGATCGATAGAGCACACAATTGAGCAACACGTGGGGCTACGTTACACCCACACGCTTCGAGAGGCACCGGGCGACGCGCACGCACGACGTCAGACACGACGCGCGGCAAACGGCGCGTCACACGTCACATCAGACGCACAACACTCGGCGCACGGCTGGAGACGCACCGTGAATCGCGCAGCGTAGGACGCGAAATGGAGAAACGCGACGCGGGGCCACATGGCAACGACACGCCACGTAAAGAACGCGCACGGCGCAAGACACGCGAAGCCAGAGATGCAATGCGAGACACGCGATGCCAGAGACGCCGATGCCAAACACGCGGTTCCAGAGACGCCGATGCCAGACACTCCACGCCCTTACTGCAGGATGTGGAAGATGAGCGAGAGCAGCATCTCGTTGAGCACGGCGACCGTCATGTGGCAGGGCTCGTGGAAGGCGGAGGGCACGGTGCGCACCGCGTAGCACAGGTACATGGTCCAGCAGAGGAACAGGAACTCCGCTAGCGAGGGGAAAAGGACAGTGGTGGACAACGGGGGGGGGGGGGTCGTTACCAGAGTAGGCGGAGGTCAGAGTTCGGGGAGTGGTGGGTGAGAAGCAATAGCGCAGTGCGGCATGTCAGTCATTGTCAGCATCATCATCGGCAGCCATGATCAATCCACTGCTGGATGAAAGCTTTCCCCACTTGCCGACAATCTCTCGCGATCCTGCGAAGTGAGAGTCTAACTGGCACCCGGACACGAGCCGATTTCATCGCTCCGTCTCTACTCGGTGGACGTCCCCCAGGATGCATTTCATCTCATGGTTGCCGCTCTCATTACTCGTGGCCATCATATCCCGAGTCAGCATGAAATAAACAAACCGCAACGGATGAACGGCCGGCTGAGTACACGATGGCGCCAAACGCGGTGCGCACGTGTTTACGGTCAGGGCGTTTATGGATGAAGGTGGGAGAACATGCGTGCCCTTGCTTGCCGATACGGGTGTAATTGTGCTTACACTATGAAGGCAATGCGGAGTGGATGTCGTTCATGATGCGCAAACAACGGCAGCGATCCCTCTCTCTCTCTCTCTCTTTCCTTCATTACGTTCGACTAAAATTAAACGTGAAAACTGATATTTTTATTTGACATCGCTTAAAGTCTACAATTTATTTGTACAGCACTGCAATGGCATTCTTCAAGGTACATTGTAGGCATGAATCGTTATTAAAGTGTTATATTTTTATTTTAAATCTGCGTGGGCGCATGCGGAGTAGTCATTTTATACTACTACATCATGTTATGTGTAGGCTTTCACAACCAATATTGCGATTCATAATTGGTTGCTTTTGAGTTTGATCACCGTGTAGGTAGAATGCCGATTAGTTTAACGATAACCCTCCACCGCCAAACGGAGCCAATTAAATCAAGTTGTCAAATCACACGAAAATGTGCTAACTGATTTGGTTTATCAGCAAACCGAAGGAGACATTGAAAGACTAAATATTGACAGTCTGTAATATGGAGACAATTTTCCATGCTGTTCAACATTCCTCCAGTTTGACTGAAAAAACAAATCACTCGGTACGTTTGTGCACGTGGCAACTTGATTTGACTGGCTCTGTCTGGTGGTGGATGTTAGAGTTAAAGGATTGACATTGCGCCGGATTATCTAAGCCAACAAAAAAACTACGACTCGTATTACATCAGTCGACAGTGCACAAGAGAGAGAGAGATTGCAACAGCCAAGTCGAAATAGAAAAAACACACGCCTAGTATTGTACATTAGTATAATATACAATTCACGACTTCGCTATTTGTCTGAATGTAAGCATTATATATTATGCAGGAATTTAATCTTGTTCTTGATCATCGTGTGTTCTATAATGCACACGCCTTGAACTCTCAGGGGCTTGAATATTTCATTACGGAACATTAATTGATTTTGTCATGTAGTCTTCAACAGACCGTTGGGACAAGTACTGTCAGTTTGTTGTCCGTCCCCTGCACCTCCGATTAGTATGGTTGACTACATACGGTGCGAAAGAAGTTCAACTTACATACAACACAGCATGCTAGGGGGGTGAGTGGCGAACACCACAATCGGCTGCCGCCTTTGTCTCCCCCAGTGTTGATGTTTACGCGCAGCGGTACGCAAACACACACACACGGGCACCGACACAGCAGAGCACACTGACCCAGCGCCATCATGTAGTCCCAGCGGCTGAGAAGGCACTGTGTGAAGCGCAGCCCCTCGGCCGTCTGGCCTACGCCCACGAGCAGCACGCCGCGGCCCAGGTTCTCCCACGCGGCGGCACTCCACGCCGTGAGGAACCACAGCACGAGCAGCATGATGATGCCCAGCATGCGCAGCACCCGTCCGCTCGTCAGGTACGGCAGCCGCTGGGCCGTGCGCGCCAGGAACACCTTCAGCACCCTGGAGAGCGACAGTGGGGGAAGCGGGCACCATTGCACACTGCCACTCGATGTCGCGTGTGTGTGGAGGTGCTCGCTAACAGCACTTGCCACTACAGTCCGTTGAGGCTATACGAGGGATCTTTGTCTGTGTGTGTCCTGCTCATGGCCACCACCAGTGACAATAATCCGAGCCGGTCCTGGGACTCCCCTAGGTCGACTCAGCCTCAAATGAGTAAATGGTGCAGAGTGTAAACATCGCCACTAGGGAGACAAAGGCGGCTGGGCGTGGCGATGGCCATCCACCCCCTCGTGTGCCGTGCTGGCCTTCGTAAGTGCTCGCGAGCAGCACCTGCCCCCCAACAGTCTGTTGAGGCTACACGGGGGATCTTTGTGTATCCGTGCGCCACGCACCGGTGCAGCTTGAGGGTGATGGTGCCATACAGGATGGAGAATCCGAGCAGGCGAACCCAGCGCAGGGCCATGCACTGCAGAGCTCCCGGCTCAAAGTACAGGATGATCACCTGCGCAGCCAGAGACAAAAGCGCGATTCCATTCCTCCCGTAAGTGCTCGTCAGCAAACGCACGTCATGGCCAGCATCATGAACACCGACGAACGTAGTCGATTGTATACGAACAACCCTGAAGAACACTGACAATACGTACACGGTGAATGCTGTGACTATTCCGTGAATTGCCTGGCCAGAGGAGAGAACAGCTGACTGCTTTACTGTCCAAAGTCACCAAGAGGACGAGCAACAACTCCGTCTCTATAAATCTCCGGGTCTCCTGCTCACGAGCGCTCTCGCCTCATCATGGGCTCAGGCCGAGTGCTAATCTCACCGTTTGGCTAAGCCAGACACAATAGAGTAGAACCATTATCTTCATTGACCCCGACCCCAAATTAAATTCTTAATTGATCATTAAAAAGCGCACACGTGTACATGTGTGTGTGTGTGAACATGCGGCTGGTTAAATTGGCACACTTCTGCAATCCGGTGCCTTGGAGGCAGGTGCTGGTAGAGCACTTAGAATCGCAAAACTCGCCCAGCTTTCTGGAATCTGAAGTGGCCAAAGCGTCGACTTCGATTCAAATGTAATATAAGAAACTGGTCAAGCGACCTCATAGACAGAAACCCTCCTGAAAATGATTTTGGCCGATGACAACGAATCGTCAAACTTCGTGGTGAAAACTGGATTAACAAAGGTCGTTTTTTAACATCCCAGTGAATGGTGGTGCCTCATGCCTGCGGAGGTGGCACGAACCCATTGCGTTTACAAATTGAAACCACTGCGATTTATTGCTTCGACCCTCCCCCCCCCTCATTGCAGGTGAGGTTTCGTGTCCGTGCGTTTACGCATCCGGGGCAGTGTGGAAGAGTCATTCGGCTCTGCGGGGTGTTATTCGGGTCGTATCATGGCGTTATTCGGAGAGCTATGCAGCACAACCATCAAAACCTACGAAGTGCCAAGAGTCTTGTGAGTGCAGGATGACGGGAGGAGTCTACGGTTCGACGATGACAAAGAAAACAAATCGATTTATAGAAACAATAACAACCGGGATGTTCCATTTCTGTGGTGTGAATGCGTTCCAAGGGATCGACTGGGAGAATTATACCGGGAAGCAGAGCAGGAAGGAGCCGAAGAGCAGAACCTCCAGCAGGAGGAGCCCGGAGGAGCGGATGTTCTGCAAGACGATCACGGCGACAGGGCGAGGTAAATCACGTAGCAGTCGTTGCAGTAGTAGGGCTTTCGCCAACAATATTACCCGAAGTAAAGGATTTTTTGGGTTAAATCGTGTAAATAAATCTAAGTATGTCGTTAACCCGCCACCACCCGACGCAGCCAATTCGAAAGATTTTGTCGCGTAAACAAAACGTGCCAATTAGTAACGACCTCAGCACACCGGTGTGTTGTGGAGTAAACCCACAAGAACATTCACGATTTGAGTACGACCTTTCGCTGGTGATTACAACAGCCAGCGTCATCAGGCGATTTGCCAGAATTGTGACGATAGTCTTCCTATTTCCTGTCTTATTATAGTCGGTGAGGTAAAGGCACAACCCTGAAATTCCTTGCTCATGCCACTGCCGGCCGGAGGGCCCCCACGAGAGCTCGCTCTAGACAGCCGCTCTAAGAGGGTGTTTGGCCTACTCTTCCGAGCGGGCCAGGCATCTGGGACGATGTGGCAGTAGCCCACAATTTGCCCCACCGCACGCGACCCGTCGGTCGGCGACGTGAGTCACGGCGCGTGACACGGCGGCGAGCGTCACGAACGTAGAAAATATTTATCGGTGCAGAGCGCTTAGTCAATCCACTGCTGGATGAAGGCTTCCTCGCACCGCGCCAGTCATGGGGATTGTTTGACCATACTTCATCGCGCGGTGATCAGTACGGGCATGGTGAAAGGTGGGTGGGGTGGTAGGCACGATTGGTTCAGATATCACTCAACACCTGGTAGCCATGGTCAGGAATTGAACTCAGGTCTCTGAGTTCATTGCAGTGTGCTAACCACTGTGCCATCACTCTATCCCTTAAATACGTATGGTATTAAATATATGCTTTATTTAACCTGGAGTCACGGCATTTAAAAACAAAAATTCAGATTTGATGAATATTTTTTGTTCACATGCGAGGAGTGAATGATGGTGAATGACTGATGGGTGAGTTCGCTCATTGAATGAGGGTTTGTGATTTAGTGAATTCGTGACGGGCATGGCAAAGTGAGTGAGTTAGTGAAGGATACAGTTCATTGAGTGAGTGGTTCAGTAAGTGAGTGTGTTGATTGCGTTCGAGTTTTGAGCGAGCGGGCTTTTGAAGGAGATAGTTAATTGATCGACTCACTTCGAGTGAGTGAGCGGTTGAGCGAGTGAGTTATCGGATGCGATAGTTAATTGGCTAGCCTATGAGGGGGCGAGGTATTGGGTGTGATAAATATAATGGATGAGTGAGTGAGAGAGCGAGTGAGTGAGCGAGCAAAGCATCGAGTGGGTGAGTAAAGGGAGAGTGTGGCTTGTGAGGTGGGACACGAGACGAGAGTAAAGCGAGTGTCTGGAGCGAGCGGATGAGGCGAGAGGCTCGGTGAATGATTGGTTAAGTGAGTGAGCGAGTGACTGGGGTGAGGTTCATCTTTCGCGCCCGGGGGGGGGGGCCACGGGGTCACCAATCACAGCCGCAGGCATCGCTGAGTGACAAGTCCCTTGCCCCTGCTGAGAGCAGTTGCTCGTGATGGATTAAACACGACCACGTGTTTGTGATAAGACAGTGTACGGAGGGCTATGCTGGGGCCGGTAAAAATACAAAAGATGAGGTTTCTGATCAATGCTTCTCACGGCGCTCACCTTTGAGACATTATTTAAACTGGAAATTGACACAATGCGGGCGAACGGGCGCGTACGCGACACGCTTGTGCAACCGTCTGAATGATTACATTTGCGTCGGTAAAGACGACTCTGACTGAAATTGACTCAACTCGCTCTCCAAGAACCGCGGTGCCCCCCCCCCCCCCCCGCCTTGCTCCGAGTCTACGGAGACGATTAACCGTGCGTAAAATTGACGCACGCGACGGCCAGGCTCTGGAACGATGCCGTGCAGCCCTCGGAGCCTCTCCTCAAACCCCCCTCTCCCTGCGTGTCCCCACGTGGTCTCGCTTTTTTACACACGAACCAATCCTCTCATTGATCTCTGACGAAAGGACGCCGGTGAGACGCGGGACGATTCACCTCCTCCGCCGAATTCAATGAGCCGTCACGATTTTGAATTGAGACTTCGTGTTAAGAATCTGCTCATCTTGTTGCGTCCGTCTTCACCGTCTCGTCGGCTGCACCTTTGTCGCCTCGTTTTACAACCCGTGTTTTAGTCCCCCGTGAGTGAACGGTACCACAAGAATAACATCCGCATGCAATTCCAGCGATCGATTCTCGCTCGCGCGATCTTGAATCAGGACCACCCACCTCTCTTCTGCCTGTTATACAGTACCTGTATCGTGATACTGCATTGACACAATTACAATTAACACGTGTTATATAACGCGTGTTAACTGTGCTTGTCGTAACACGTTTGTCAATAACAGCCCTGCCCCCTACGCCAATCGTACATCGCAGCAGAACGTTTCCCTAGCCTGACGAAAGGCTACACGCGGAGTTGATTTACGTGAGGACCCCAGAGCTCGGGCCGGGTCCACACGATCGCCACGTGCCCAATGGCCGATTATCCTCGTAGCAAAAGTAGCTACACATGTAGTAGCTACACATGTAGTAGCTACACATGTAGTAGCTACACATGTAGTAGCTACACAAGTAGTAGCTACACATGTAGTAGCTACACAAGTAGTAGTTACACAAGTAGTAGCTACACATGTAGTAGCTACACATGTAGTAGCTACACAAGTACTAGCTACACATGTAGTAGCTACTGCACATGTAGCTACTACACATGTAGTAGCTACACATGTAGTAGCTACACAAGTAGTAGCTACACATGTGTAGTAGCTACACATGTAGTAGCTACTACACATGTAGTAGCTACACAAGTAGTAGCTACACAAGTAGTAGCTACACAAGTAGTAGCTACACATGTAGTAGCTACACATGTAGTAGCTACACAAGTAGTAGCTACACAGTAGTAGCTACACAAGTAGTAGCTACACATGTGTAATAGCTACACATGTAGTAGCTACACAAGTAGTAGCTACTCATGTAGTAGCTACACAAGTAGTAGCTACACAAGTAGTAGCTACACAAGTAGTAGCTACACAAGTAGTAGCTACACATGTAGTAGCTACACAAGTAGTAGCTACACAAGTAGTAGCTACACAAGTAGTAGCTACTCATGTAGTAGCTACACAAGTAGTAGCTACACAAGTAGTAGCTACACAAGTAGTAGCTACACAAGTAGTAGCTACACATGTGTAGTAGCTACACATATAGTAGCTACACAAGTAGTAGCTACACATGTAGTAGCTACGGGCCCCGCAGTTTCAAGTGCCCCGCGCTAAATGCTTCAAGCTATTAATTCCGGTGATTCTGCACTTGCTCTATTACTATAGTACTATACCGCCTTCAATTTTTATGAACGACTGGGTGTTTAAGGTTAGCGATTTGTCGTATTATCTGGCTGAAAAGCAAATGAAAAAAATACAATTACTTTATTATGCAAATAAAAAAAAATGTGTATTAATGTTCATGTTTTTAATGTAGGGCCCCTTTATAGCAACATATGCTGCAGGCCCCGCACTCGCTTAATCCGGCACTGCACGTTCCAGTGGCTGGGTCCAGTGGCATGGCGAGCTGCGGCGACCAGAGCTCGTCAACAACACTGTGGTGGTCTTAGAAGGAAAACAGATATCATGGGTGAAGTTTCAGGCAATGCCGTTGTTCAGAGTACATAGTCTGCCTATGGCTATCTTCCTGCTACGATCCGGTCGTGGAAAACGGACGAGTGGTCGGTCTGCAACCCCTGGTCGATCGATCGGCTCGACGCCCGGCTCCAACACCGTGCCGGCTGGCGCGGCTCACCTTGTCCCTGCGGCTCACCTTGTTCCTGGGGCTCATTTTGTTCCTGGGGCTCACCTTGTCCCTGCGGCTCACCTTGTTCCTGTGGCTCACCTTGTCCCTGCGGCTCACCTTGTCCCTGCGGCTCACCTCGTTCCTGCGGCTCACCTTGTCCCTGCGGCTCACCTTGTCCCTGCGGCTCACCTTGTCCCTGCGGCTCACCTTGTCCCTGCGGCTCACCTCGTTCCTGCGGCTCACCTTGTCCCTGCGGCTCACCTCGTTCCTGGGGCTCACCTTGTTCCTGCGGCTCACCTTGTTCCTGCGGCTCACCTTGTCCCTGGGGCTCACCTTGTTCCTGCGGCTCACCTTGTTCCTGCGGCTCACCTTGTTCCTGCGGCTCACCTTGTTCCTGGGGCTCACCTTGTTCCTGCGGCTCACCTCGTTCCTGCGGCTCACCTTGTTCCTGGGACTCACCTTGTCCCTGCGGCTCACCTTGTCCCTGCGGCTCACCTTGTTCCTGGGGCTCACCTTGTTCCTGCGGCTCACCTCGTTCCTGCGGTTCACCTTGTTCCTGCGGCTCACTTCGTTCCTGCGGCTCACCTTGTTCCTGCGGCAGCGGTAGACGACGGCCATGCTGGCGAGCACGAGCAGCGCGCACAGCAACTCGGCGGCGAGCAGCGCCAGGCGCAGGGCGGGCAGCAGCACGGCCAGGCAGGGCCGGCCGTCTGTGCACGTCGAGCAGCCCTCGGCGCACGGGGCGCACTCCACCCCGCCGACTCCGTCGGTGCCAAAGCCACCGCCGCCGCCGCCACCGCCGCCACCGCCACGCGCTGCCGAGACAGCAGCGACGTTTAGGAAGCCACTGGAAGCCGCCGTGGCTAGGAGATGTTATCTCTCTCGCCCGGTATACAGGAGGTCGTGGGTTCGATTCCGATCCCGACGCCTGCTGTAAATTTGGAGTTTGCGTGTCTCTCTCTCTCTCCCAGTGGTCACGTGGAATTTAACCTTGGACCAACTAAAGAATGGATTTGTGCAAGACTTTTTTCTGTTTACAATTACATAAAAAACAGTTAGTCCTGCATAGCATGAGGACGTGGACGGATGGTGATTTTGATTTGAAGCTCTCGTGACTGCAGTGATTCATATTCTTGGTTCGTTCGGTAAAGTCACGTTGAAGGGAAACGATAAAATAATAAAATATATATAAAACAATAAAATTCTCACGACGTTTCGACTGGAACACAAACAGTCATCACACCTGATGATGACTGTTTGTGTTGCACACCTGATGATGACTGTTTGTGTTACAGTCGAAACGTCGTGAGAATTGTATTGTTTTATATATATTTTATTGTTTTATTGTTTCCCTTCAACGTGACTTTACCGAAAGAACCAAAAATATGGATGGTGGTTTGTCATACTTTGTGTGTATGTATTTTCTTTTATAGATCGGTAGGCATTTTTGTTCACATATCAAACCAATTTTGCATGCGCCCAGAGATGCGATGACACATGAAGTGTGAAAATTATTACACGATGGTGATGATGGTGGTGATGTCGATGATGACGATGCAACCATTGTAGCTTGGAATGGAGTCAGACCCGTGGCCACCACCTTTACTGAGATTGGTTCTCCAGATGCACGGTTGATCTTTACGCTTTTTCTGTCATGTATTAAAAAAACACATCTAAACATTTTATATTATTTCCTCGCATTCCGAGACTTGGGAACTCCCATGCATCATCTCTGCCGAAATTCGTCTAACCTTGTTCAAGGTCACGTAGACGTGCATTCCGTCTTATCTGCCACTGGGCCTTTATTGAACGCCTATGTTGAATTCTAAACATGTAACATAAAAAAAATTTGCAGGCCTTTGTTGATTTGCCATCGTCTTAGTTGGACGCGGTGGTGGGCGCCTGTGGTCCGGAACTTTGGGGGGCAAGGGTTGGTGGATCATGGGAGAGTTGTTACCACTGCATTGCACAGTGGTCAGGAGGTGGCAGTATGGCAAGTTGATTTTTGAGCCCATCTGTGCGGACATTGTGAGCGCTCTCCCCTGATATTGCATGCGGTTTACCCGGATAATCTGCTTTCATGTCACTAACAAAACACTCCATATTGGAATTGGCCAAATAACGTAACGCAAGGGACCCGCCTGAAAAAAATATAATTGTCTAAAAAAAGGGGTTAAACATTTGTAATCGTCAAAACACAAGGGTCAGTGCTACTAGATCACATACACTGCTATGTATGACTGCTCAACATAATCCTGAATATCTTTTGTTCGGACATGTACATGTGTGTGTACATGTGCGTGTATATAGTGTCGTGGTTAGCGCGCTGTGCTGTGAACCCGGCGACCCGAGTTCGTAATCCCGCTCACGGCCAACACCAGTGACGATTATTTGAACCGGTCCTGGGCCTCCCCGAAGTCAACTCGGCATCAAATGAGTACCTGGTGTTGTGTGTAAACTTCGCCACTGGGGAGACAAAGGCGGACGGGCATGGTGCTGGCCACCCAACCCCCTTGTGTGCCGTGGTGGCCTTCATTGGTGCTGCTCGCTAACAGCACTTGCCCCAACAGTCTGTTAAGGCTATACGGGGGAACATTGTACGTATGCATATTTTTTTTTTACATTAGCGTATCCTATGACACGTGCTTGCCTCCGTGTTGCCGACGATACACGATAGCCCCACAGCGCCGCGCCACGAGATTGTATTCAGGAGGCACCGAGGCTATAGCAGAGAGAACAGCGTGGGGCCTCAGGTTCGGTGAGGCAGCGCAAACGGAGAGCGGCACGCGAGCGTCCAGCCAGCATCTTACTCGGCACCGTCGGCGGATGATGACACAGAGCTGACGAGTGCCGAATTTTATTTTTTACAGAAGCGACCTGGCTGTCACAAATGATAGCTCAACGAAGAGTGGCTTATCGCGTGGACATTTACAGCAGCCAATTACTCTAAACGCGTGTTTTTATAAATGTGGAGGACCCGGAGAAAAATCTACGCGACCACGGGGAGAACATGAAAACTCCAAATATACAGGCGTCAGGGTCGGGATTAAACCCACGACCCCCTCGCCCTCCACCCCAGGAACATTCTTGCCAATATTCCCACCTTTTAACTCGACAGCCTCTATCTAAATCATTAAAATTCGCTCAAACTGAGCACGTGCTCAGGTTCACGCGGCGTGAGCATTGGGGTCGTCACGGCGGTTGACATGGCCTCGCGCACGGAGTGTCACGCCGATGCTCAATCTGACGCTCAAATATTGTACTTCCCCCTGCACCTCCGATTAGCACTATTGGCTACGTACAGCGCGAAAGATGTTCATTGTACACACGTATTGCCCAACTCGCGTTTTTTAATCTTCATTTTTATTACCGTTATAATTATTCTTGAGCTTAAAAAATGTGTTTGCAGTTCGTACTCGCTCACACTTGCCGCTTGGCTTTTGCCCGGCATCTGAAGACGCTCGCACATCCCGACGCTCTGCCCGTTCAGGTCAATATCGATTGGGTTCACAAAGCCCGTCGTGGCCTCTACGGTCAGCGCTGTGCCTCCCGGAAAGAGAGAAACAAAAAAACCCACGCCGGCTCTACCCCCGCCGATGCCCTACCACTCACCACCGCCGGTGTCGTTGGCGTGTGCTCTCGGCCGGTAGAACCCCGTCCTGCAGACGCAGTTGTAGGCACCCAGACGGAAGCCTTGGCCCCGCACTGCGACGCACTGCGCTCGCGCACACGGAGACAAAGACCATGCCCCGCTGTGCGGCTCACCGTTGCACCTCGCCACTGGCTCGTCGGGCGCGAGTGAGCGTGGGTGGTTTTACACTGGCCGTTTGCCGTGCCGTGCTGGAACCACGCTGTGTGGCTGTACGCATGATGAGCTTCCTCCGCACGGTACGTAACCAACCACGTAAAATCTGAGGTGCGGCGGTAGGACAACATTCCAAACACAAAAAGCAGTTCTGAAGAAATGAGTTTTTAATCTAGAAACTGTGATACGCTTGAAGCTGGCTCGGGGCCAAGCAGGGCCAGGGGCTGAGCTAAATGCTGCGTTCACTGCTCGTCACGTGAGTCAGCACAGCGTGAGAACACGACGTCACCGTGACGTCTACAAACGACGCGTGTGACGTCGTTTGAGCGGTTTCAGCTCCTGCAGCGGAAAAAAAAAACGAATCTAGCTCCACCTGAGCCATGAAGGGCTGGCTTGGCACGGCCCCAGTACAGCTCGGTTGTGCAGTGGCACACCACATCCAGTATACCTGCTGCGATGAGGTAGCTTCTGGTCGTGTGCGGATTCCAGTCTTGCTGCCACTCGGAAATAATTCAGTGCGAAATGAAATTCCTGCTTAGGTTGTTGAGGACAGTGTTGACAGTGAGCACTTATTAACGTCAGCATGGCACAAGACGGGTTGGGTGGCCAGCACCACGCCCAGCCGCCTTTTTCTCCCCAGTGCTGATAGAGACTCAGGACCAGTTCTGATATCACTTTCTACTGACATTACAGCACCATTTCCCGTGACGTCACACACAAGGTCGTGTGTTCGATGTGCAAGAATGGCGATGGCATCTTAACGTCATCGTAGTGCCGAACTGTGGACTTGCTTTCGTGGCCGTGCTCGCGACGTGCTTCTCGGCAGCCAAGACACGCAGCGGCAGAAGCCCCTTTTTGTGTCGAGGGTCTTGTTTCATTTGATTTGATTGGCTGCGAGATGCACATTGGCAGTGAATGAAGCCCCCCTCGCGCCGGAGACACCGCCCGAGTTACAAGGTGGATTTTAATTTAGCAAACTGGAATCAATCGGAAGCGACCTTGGATCACCACACGGCATGATGTGCCTTCGATTCCAAATATGTGTGTGTGAATTAATGAAACGTGCCCTAGCGTTGTTTCAATCGCCACAGGGTATCGGCTGTAGTGGAGTGCCAGTTCAGATCTTCTTGCGCCAAAAAGACAATAATCGCTTTCGGCGGGGAAAGATTAAAACTCAAGTCCCCATTCTCTTTCAGCGCAGTGCGCCCACACACCCAAAGGGGGAAACTGCACTTTTCATAATCAAGGTTTTTGAGTTAGATCGCGAAAGTAAAAATGTGTCGTAACCCTCCACCACCCGACACAGCCAATTAGTAATGGATTTGTCACGTAAACAAAGCGTCAAATAGTTACTGCTTCAGTGTGTTGGAGAGTAAATCCACAACATTTACAAATTGAGTAGTACGACGTTTCTACGTGTTAAACTGCACCTTTAACGGGTAGAGGATCGTACCATCAGCAGCTAAGAGGACCGTACCATCAGCGGGTGAGACGGGCCAAACCATTCGGCACCACAGCGCACGTCTTCCCGGACGGTGCGCGAGAGAAGCCGTTTGCGTCGGTCACGAATCATTTTCCGACCCACGGCAATCAAACTACATCTTCAATTTAAAATATGAATTTTACTCAAATGTCACTGTTTAAAGTATTTATGTTATTTTATAAGTATACGTGCATATATACAATATACAATATATATGCACGTATACTTATAAAATAACATGCCTAATCCAATTTCGTTTAAGACAAGCACCTGTACACGTTGTGCGAGCGTCTCGCGTGCTCCGTGATGCCTGCGTGATGCGGATCGCTCTGGAGTGGTTGCCGCCCATCGTTTCGGTCACGCGACAGCCACGAGTTTGATCCGTAGCACCCGATGCACACAACAACAACCGCCATTCGCCACTAAGTGGCGGTGACGTCACCACGACGCTTGTGCCAGGCCATGTGCACCTTGAGGCCACGTGAAGTGTCGAACGCCCGCTGGCAGGAGGTCACGGGGCAGACCCAGGTGCCACGGGTCGACTGACTGAGATGACTGAGATGACTGGCTGATGCACCACCAGTGCCCCCTACTGTGCCAACCTGTTGTTCCCTAGCCACCCGGTGCTCCGCTCGTTGTTGTGAGCGTCGCTCCTCCGCCCTCCGTTGTTGTTGGAGGGCGACTGCCTCCAACTGCCCAGTAGCGTCCTTCACGAGCCTCCTCCACAGAGGCCGATCTTGACACCGCTGGTACCAGTCATTGGCAAGTCCACTCAGCTCCACGTCCTCCTGTACCACATCACTCCATCTCTTCTCTAGCCCGTGCCGCGCCCGTTTAGCCCCCTCAATCCAGCCGAACAAAAGCTGTTTCGGCATGCGGTGCCTGGGCATGCGGGCTACATGACCCAGCCAACGCAGCCTTGCCTGCCGGAGGAGCTCACCGATGGGACCTTGCCCAGATCTTTCAAGGATTTGTGAGCTCCTCACACAATCCAGCCTGGTTAAACCCAGGATGGAGCGTAGGCAGGCTAGCCTAAATGTTTCTAACCAGCGAAGATGTTCCATTAGGGGGGTCCACGTTTCGCAAGCGTAGAGAAGGGAGAGAATGACCGTGGCCGAGAAGACCTGAAGCTTAGTGCGGAGCGACAGATCAGGTAGCTTCCACACAGCGTTACGCAACCGATAAAAAGATATTGTCGCTCGACTGATTCGGAGTGAGACCTCTGCTGTTAAACTGGAGCCGGTCATAAGCACACTGTCGAGGTATGGGAAACTCTCCACTCTCTCCACAACTGCCCCATCACACACAACAACCGCCATTCGCCACTAAGTGGCGGTGACGTCACCACGACGCTTGTGCCAGGCCATGTGCACCTTGAGGCCACGTGAAGTGTCGAACGTCCGCGGACAGGAGGTCACGGGGCAGACCCAGGTGCTACGGGTCGACTGACTGAGATGACTGGCTGGTGCACCACCTGTGCCCCCTACTGTGCCAACCTGCTGTGCCTTAGCCACCCGGCGCTCCGCTCGTTGTTGTGAGTGTCGCTCCTCCGCCCTCCGTTGTTGTTGGAGGGCGACTACCTCCAACTGCCCAGTAGCGTCCTTCACGAGCCTCCTCCACAGAGGCCGATCTTGACACCGCTGGTACCAGTCATCGGCAAGTCCACTCAGCTCCACGTCCTCCTGTACCACATCACTCCATCTCTTCTCTAGCCCGTGCCGCGCCCGTTTAGCCCCCTTGATCCAGCCGAACAAAAGCTGTTTCGGCATGCGGTGCCTGGGCATGCGGGCTACATGACCCAGCCAACGCAGCCTTGCCTGCCGGAGGAGCTCACCGATGGGACCTTGCCCAGATCTTTCAAGGATTTGTGAGCTCCTCACACAATCCAGCCTGGTTAAACCCGGGATGGAGCGTAGGCAGGCTAGCCTAAATGTTTCTAACCGGCGAAGATGTTCCATTAGGGGGGTCCACGTTTCGCAAGCGTAGAGAAGGGAGGGAATGACCGTGGCCGAGAAGACCTGAAGCTTAGTGCGGAGCGACAGATCAGGTAGCTTCCACACAGCGTTACGCAACCGATGAAAAGATATTGTCGCTCGACTGATTCGGAGTGAGACCTCTGCTGTTAAACTGGAGCCGGTCATAAGCACACTGTCGAGGTATGGGAAACTCTCCACTCTCTCCACAACTGCCCCATCACACACAACAACAACCGCCATTCGCCACTAAGTGGCGGTGACGTCACCACGACGCTTGTGCCAGGCCATGTGCACCTTGAGGCCACGTGAAGTGTCGAACGTCCGCGGACAGGAAGTCACGGGGCAGACCCAGGTGCTACGGGTCGACTGACTGAGATGACTGGCTGGTGCACCACCTGTGCCCCCTACTGTGCCAACCTGCTGTGCCTTAGCCACCCGGCGCTCCGCTCGTTGTTGTGAGTGTCGCTCCTCCGCTCTCCGTTGTTGTTGGAGGGCAACTACCTAAAACTGCCCAGTAGCGTCCTTCACGAGCCTCCTCCACAGAGGCCGATCTTGACACCGCTGGTACCAGTCATCGGCAAGTCCACTCAGCTCCACGTCCTCCTGTACCACATCACTCCATCTTTTCTCTAGCCCGTGCCGCGCCCATTTAGCCCCCTCGATCCGGCCGAACAAAAGCTGTTTCGGCATGCGGTGCCTGGGCATGCGGGCTACATGACCCAGCCAACGCAGCCTTGCCTGCCGGAGGAGCTCACCGATGGGACCTTGCCCAGATCTTTCAAGGATTTGTGAGCTCCTCACACAATCCAGCCTGGTTAAACCCAGGATGCATCGTAGGCAGGCTAGCCTAAATGTTTCTAACCGGCGAAGATGTTCCATTAGGGGGGTTCACATACACACACAGACCCACAGTCATTTCCCTTCCAACCTTGTCTGGGCCCGCTCTAGGTCGACTCAGTTTAACCCGAGTACGTGGTGCAGCAGTGTGGTCAAATCCAACCACGGGAAGATAAACGCATTCGTGGCCGAGTGGTATCATTGACACCAGCAAACCCTCTGTGGCACGGATAGGTGCTCGCTAGCAGCACTCGCCCCAACAGTCTTCCAAAGTTGTATATTTGCCTATGAGTATTGTTACATGTATCATACTCACCGAGACTAGCGATTTAATCTGCCGATTTTTAAACCCTTTCACCGGATACTGGTATCCAAAGCACATTTTCCGTCGACCTTTTTTTGGTTTTTGAAGCTGTACGATTACCTTTGAACTCTGTAGGGGTACAACAACAAAACATCGCCAGCCCCACCGCGTCAATCGGTAGGGTTGGAAAAGCATTCACGCGCGTGTTCTAGGACACGTCGCTGGAACGGACGATGGCAGATGGTCAAGACTATTGACGGAGTCGAGGTCAAGGAGGATTGCCGTCCGGATCTCTGGGAGGACGTCCACA